ACATGGAAAAATAAGAAAACGATTCGATCGGATAGAAAATAAGGATTGCAAGCGTAAAAATCGGCTTTTGCTGTTTCGGAAAATAAAAGTCCGCGTAACAACTTTAATACAGGCATAAAGTTGTATTTTTGACTCGAAACGCCGTAAATAGGTGCGAGTTGTTTAACGTCGTTCGAGAATCACGTTTAATACGAAAGCTCAATAATCGATCTTCGAAATATTGGCGAATAACTCGCATTAGGAAAAATATTAAGCATAGCAATATAGTCGTGCGGTCGAGTAAAGCACAACGAAGATAAAAATTGCGTTCTCGTCTCGAGGAAATCGGACGCTTCGATCGGAGCTTACGCGAGATGAAAAATGCGGGTATCGTAGGAAAATCCGCTACAGTGGAAATGCAGAAGATGCTCGCATAGAGCGATGCGCAGGTTCGCGTCGTCATTCAATTGTCCGTCTCTTTCTCCGGAGTTTTAGCTCGTTGAAAGAAAGTACAGCCGCGAGGAGGAAAAGAAAAAAAGCTGCACTAATCGGCTCTCGAGCGTCGCTGCTTCTCTCGCGTAAACGTACGAAGCTCAGGCGGGCAGAGTTGAATTACGAGGCGTTGGATACGAGGCGTCGCGGACTAGCTCGGCAACGTGCGAGCCTATACGAAACGGTCAGAGGTCGTCGCATCGGCCGATGCGAATGGATTACAGGCGGAGTTTAAGCGCTGCTCTCTCGGCCGAGAGAGCCGCGAAACGGAGTCGTGTAGTGGATCGAGAGCTGCACATAGCGAGATCACGGCATTAAAGTCATCGACGCATCGCAGAGAGGCCTATACGTGCGCATTAAAGCGAGCGCGCTTGGAATGTCTCATGCATATATGAAAATGTGAGCGATACCAAGGATGCGCAGCGGCGGCGGCGGCGGCGCGCTTGAGCGAATAACGCTCTTGGTCGTCGTCGTCGTCGCTGTGCTCGGCACTATTGGCGGCCGCCGTCCGCCGAGGCTCTCTCGAGTGTCTTTGGAATGATTATCGTGCGCGCGCTCGCTCGCTCGTTCGCGAGAGAGAAAGAGAGAGAGCAAGTAGAGAGAGAGAGCGGAGGTCTTAGGTCGAGTTGAAACGGGTTCGTGGCTGCAGGTAGATGAAGAGAGCGAGGGGCCTCATTCTCTCTCGCACACAGCCACAGCCACACACTTGCACACACACACACACACATGTATATAGGCAGTGCAGTGTGCAGATATCGTACGAGGCTTTTTCCGTGCGCGCAAAAGACAGCTAGCGAGCGAGCGAGAGAGAGAGAGAGACTGGGACGCGCTGACTCTTGGCTCGCTTGCTACATAACGTATACACAGCGAGCGAGTGCTGACGCGCGTGAGAGAGCCTCGTGAGTAGTTATACACAGTACGTGTAGTCCGTTTCTATAAGCCCGAGTATTACATACAAATGCATATGTTGGTGTGATTGTTGCTTTGTACATGTGCGCGAGCCGAGCGAGTATATGTATATGTACGCATGCGAGTGCGCGCCAATAAGCCAAGAGAGAGAGAGAGAGAGAGAAAGACGTAAGCTATACGGTACGCAGTGGACAGCGCTTAGAAAAGCTTCAAACAAAAGGTGTATATAGACTCGGAACGACGACTCGGAGCAGGAGGAGGGAGGGANGGGGGGGGGGGGGGGGGGGGGGGGGGGGACAGCGATGCATATGCAGGCTCTCGCGACTATCGAGCAGCAGCAGCAGCTCTGCTCTCTCGCGCGGGCACCGAGTGCTGCGCGCGACGTAGCGATGCACTCGACTCGCGTATATAGCGAGCGCGCAGCACAATGCGCCGCGCGGAGATGGGTCAGGCCCATCCCAGCATCCCAAGCCTACGCTCGACTCTCGACTCGCATCCTCCGCGCTTAGCTCGCCTCGATCTCTGACTCGCAGCAACCTTTTCACCTGCAGCTCGATGATGCGCTGCCGCTGCTGCTGCTGCTGCTGCTGCTGCTGCCGCGAGGAGCAATGCCCCGTGGTCGACGATGTCACCGTGCGCACCGATCGCCGCGCGACTCGACTCGCTGCCGCTAGCTTTACTCTCCTATATACGTAGGCTCGCTCGAGAGAGCTATATAAGATTCCGCAACTGCGCTCGCTTATACTTGCTTATACTCGCTTACTCGCGAATTATTCATCGAGTGTATTCATGCGGCTACCTACGCCGCCGGATGTATGCGCTTTCGTTTCAGCGCTTCCAACCGATCGCTACCGATCCCCGAGCTCGTCCATCGAGTCTACTCGTTTGTGACCCGTTGGGCCATACGGATCGGTAGCGATTCGGTAGCGATTCGGTAGCTCCCTCATCGCCATCGGAATCGGTCTATATATTCGATCGATCGTTACCGGTCGAGTCTCGAGTCGTGGCCCGTCGACGAGTCGAGTCGATTCGGCACGCATATAGGTGGACGCGAAGCCTATGGCTGCGGATCATTGGATCGGTCCGAGCGCGCATAATAGCGATCATTAGCGCGCGCGCAAGAGTCGAGAGCGCGCGAACAGGTCAGAGTCGCACGAGTCATTTGCGCGCTCATGCTCGGCTCGCGGCCGGAGCAGAGGCCAGTCGCCTGCAGTGCGAGTATATACGAATATATATATAGGAGCGAGGCTCCGTATCGGCTAGCGTTGGCCCAAGAGACGCGTCCCGAGTCCTGAGAATGAGGAGAGGAGGGCATCCTCTCGACGCAATGTACATTGCGATGCGCACAATGTGTAATAGGTATTTGCAACATGTGCGAGCGAGAATCGAGCGAGCTGCTAAAGCTAGGCAGGCTCTCGCTGCACTCGGAAGGTATTTGTATCCTCTACATCTATCTCTACCAGCGGCAGCAGCAGCAGTTATATGCGCGCTCGAGTATATAAGTGAGCGTACATGTGTGTGTGTGTGTGTGTGTGTGTGTGTGTGCGGACCGAAGCAAGCGAGTCTCTCGCACTCTCGCACGACTGGCTTCTCCCGCGAGTGACCGGATTGAGCGTGAGTGCGGCCGAGGCATATTTTATAAGATATTCGAAGAGAGCTGCTTGCGCCGTGTGACCCGTGCGCGCGCGCGCGCGCCCGAGTCATGTGCATGTGCATGTGCGTGCGCTCTCTCTCTCGCTGCATGAGGCTTATAGTATGTGTGTGTGCTGCGAACACTGCGAGCTGCGAGCTGCGAGGAGCTGCGAGTGAGAGAAAGAGAGAGAGAGAGAAGGAGAGCGAGAGAGAGAGAGGCAAGGAGCAAGATCCCGAGTCGCGAATACTGGGCGCGCGGATGAGTCGCGCAGGCGGCCAATACGGGAGAGGGAGAGAGGACTGCACTGCATGGCACTTTTGCTGAGCAGCGCGCGCGCGCGCGCGGCTACGAACGACCGGTGACCTCTCGCTGGCCTTTCGACTCTCTCACTCGGAGCGCGCGCGATATATACTACCTATATCTACCTACACTCGCCTCGTCCCTCTCTCTCTCTCTCTCTCTCTTTCGAGCGCGGAGCAAGCACATATACACATTCTCACACACAACTTTATACACGCTCACGTTCACCTTATTCCCGAGCATCTACCTGCTCCGCGCGCGCGAGCACTTGAGTCCATTCTATACAGCCTCCTCTTTTCCTGCACGTGTTCTTTAGCTGCTGCTCCTTCTGCCTCGCTTCTGCGCCTCTCTTTTACCTTTTACTTATTTTTCTTCTTTGCCCGTTCGCGTATGTGCTTTGTATGTGCAACCATATAAGCCCGCTGCTGCTGATGCTGCACATATGAGCTGTACGTGCATATTGTGCGCATCTATACTTGTACTCTCTCGAGCCGAGGCAGAGCTATAGCCATGTACGCAGCGCACATATACACACTTGTGCATATACGTGTGGTACTCTGACACGCGGGAAACTCACGCCTGCAGGTTCATCCGTTCATCTGCCGGCCGCTCGGTCATCTATAGCCTATGCTTTCATTCGCGCAAATATGCTCATTCCACTGTACTCGCGTGCACATCCAGCTATATGGAATACACGCAGCACACACACACACGTATACACATACATTCTCGTAGGTGCAGCTACTCTATGTAATGCACTCCTCTCGCTAAATCCGATCGATTCGCTCACGTATACCATCCTACGGCCGCAGCTTCATCTTTTATATCTTTTACTTACCTCCCATCCTTCTCATATTCTTATATACATTCATTTATGTACACCTTCACATGCGCGCCTATATTTCTGTGTCTGTGCGAATATACATGCTTTAATTTGCGCTCCGATCTTTCCCACCATTCTTGAAGATAATATGCAAGTCTACACCTGGGATTCATATCTATTGAATCAGCGACTTATTCCTTATCAAATATTCCAACTCTTAATACAAATGTTAACGGTTAAAATGCAATTTATTTATGCTTTTTTTCTTTTCGTCATTCATTATTTATTTCCATGTATTTTTCCAATTAAAAAATCACTAAATACTCTTTTTACTTTGATTTTTTACATTTTTACCAAAACCTTTTCTATTATCGATTTGCATGTTATTGTACTTAAAAAATGCACTCGCATTGGTGCTTTTTAAAATATTTAATACATATTTTACGTTTTTCATTTCCAACGTGTAGAATATATTCGAGTCTTCTGTAATATTAATAATACATAAAAACTCCGTACTACCTTAATTTAGGACATCATAGTAAAAAAATTTCTCGAAAAGTTCAACAGTTGATTATAATCTTACTTTTTAATTTGTTTTGTCCTTCATTGCAAATTCATCTTCGGAAAAGGTATTTGATCGAAAAAGGGTCTGACCAAAAATTCAAGTGTGGTTTCCAATCCAACGGTTCAAAATAAAAAACTTGAAATATTTTTCTACGTAAAATGTTTTTATTCACTCTCATGATTACGCAAATATTAATTAATAAATTGTAAAAGATAAATACATAATATACCATTAATTTATATCATTCATAGTTACTTTAATTAATATCAATATTATAATAATGAAAACATCCGATTTCACTCAATAACTTACCGATAGAGCATTGAAACTGTCAATGTTTTGTTATCAGAAAGTAACGAAATCGTAAGGATGATAGTGAGAAGAAAAAATAGTTAAGGCCGCAGTACCAAAAAAGCAGCAGCTGTTCGTTTGGTGACCGCGAATCGTTGAGTTCTAAATCACTCAAAGTTACATGTATACGATATATAAATATATATCTTATATATTATATATATATATTCCAAGTAAAGCCAGACGAATGGTATTTCATTGAAGCGGCACTGACAGAATGATGAGTGGTAAGGGTGTTTAAACAACCGCGTTACGTATGATGAATGCGCAGCGTCACTAAGTTCGTGGCAGTAAACGAAGCTCCTAGCAGTTTGAACGCGCGCGTGCGTGCCTCACCCCTGTGGACGTTCACCCATGCTCTATCGTCAGCCGGGTTTCCGATCAGTGGTCGAAAATCCCGCTGTTCGGCACAATAGATCATTCTCAAGCGAAACTGAGCGGCTCGAGAGTCTTGCTGGTGCAGGGCTTGGCGTCGTCCTGGCCGCTGCTCGACGACGGGAACTGATTCTGCGACTGGGAGCGCGACTGCGCCTGGGTCTGCTCCTTCTGGCGCTGCCAGGCCTCGCTCCAGCGGGCGTCCTTAGCCTTCTTCTCCTCGAGGCTGCGCATCGCCGCCGACTGCCACTGCTCGATGTTGGCCGTGGTGCGCTCGGTGCGCTGCACGTGCTCGTAGCCCTGCATCCAGTACTCCTGGATTTCGCTGCGCGTCACCGAGGTACGGGCCGTGCCCTGACCACCCTTGCGGCCGTCCTTGCCGTCCTTGCCAGCGCCCGCTTGACGGCCCGCGCGCGCCGGCTTGCCGCCCTCTTGAATGGGCAGCTTGCGAGGCGGCGTTTTCTTCGAGCGAGCCTCGTCGCCGGAGGCTTCCCGCCGCCTTCGCTGTCTCCGGCCGGTCTCTCCTTCGGAGGACTTTTGCTGCTGCTGCTGCTGCTGTTGCTGCTGCAAGGGCGATGATTCCTCATCGGGCTGTCCGACTCCTAGGAAATGTTCCCTCGCCGAAGCCCAATGATCTTTGCCACTCGTACGACCCGCCTCGTGGGCCTCCTCGGAGGTACGCAACTTTCGCGAGTTTTTGGCCACCCATGGCGGTGGCTGCTTACTCGACCGCAAACCATCCTTTAACGTAGTCTGAAAGCAAAAACGCAAAACATTCGTTTGTTTCATCGTTGATCATCTGATGAGTTGTACTGTACTGTCGCGGCTCAAAGGATACAAGTACTGAATTTGATAATTTTCTTTTTAATATGCTCGGGTATTGATATTTTATTCTACAAAGTTTTTTTTTCACTGCGCAAGCTTTACGCTTTCAGAAATTATTTAAAAAATGTTATTTCTCGATACGGGTTAGCACTTGAAAAATTACTCCTACTTTTTCGAATCTTTCGAAAAGCAATAATTCGAGCATTCAGCAACATCGAGTCAAAAGGCTTCTTCAGTGGCACGATCTATACTTACTCCCGAAGAGGAACTGTCAACGGGCTTGTAGAGCTGCTGATTGACCTCGTCCTCGGCAGCCGAGGCCGGTGAGGCCCGACAGCCCGAGACTCCGCGTCCATGTAACCAAGACAGCAAAAATGCTAAAAGAGCGCACGACAGTCCGAGCGTCGCCGTGGCCGTTAGCTGGGAACGCGTTCGGCGTGGTACCCAGCCACTGCCATGGTACTCGAAGACGGACAGGGCCAGCAGCGTGCTGGCCGTTATGAACGACAAGCCGATGCTCGAAAAGATCCAGGCATTCTGCAAAACGAGTTTAAACGTCAAAATTGCTCCGACTTTGCATTCGACTTTGGTTGAGACACGCCGTCTTACCAATCGTCCCCAATTAAAAGGGAAAAAATGCACTACGTGAGATATGTCCAAAAATAACAGCAGAGCAGTGATTAGTAGGCTGAACACCGCGACAAATATCATGAACCGGAGCCTTCCTGCCAGTGGTAGCATAAACAAACTTATTTTAGCAGTTCCAGAGCTACACAGAGTCACCAAACATGCTGCCGATGAAACCTGTAAAATTACGAATTTATTTTTTCATTATTCGGTTCAATTGAGACTTTTCTCTTTTTTTCCATAATTACTTTGTTCACTATTAACAATTCTAAGGCAGTAAGTTTACTATCCGTAAAATGATTTTAAAAATGTATTAAGTTTAATTAATAAGATGCACTTTGTAAACATGTTTAAACTTTGATCAGTTAATGTTCAATAATCCACGTAAAAATATTATTTTTAATAACTGCCGTAAATAAAAACAAACGCCGATAAAGATGTTTCACATCAAAAACTAGAGATTTGGGGATTATATGTAAAAAATGTTGTATTGAGCTAGTAAAGAGCAAAATTAGACGTCGAAAAAATAGCTTTTGTCACTCTCATAACGTCCTTGTTCTTTCAGTATCTTAAATAATATTGTATTCGTAATCTTACTAGAAATGTTTACAAAGTATTCAACAGACTTAACGTATCAAACGTATTTTATATGTAACAACATTCGTATCTAACATTTCAAAACATTGTATGTAAATGATTAAAAGAAATTTTCAAACATTATATTGAAATATACTTTTTATATTGAAACATTTCATTGATGGCACTCAAAAATTCGATGTACGTAAATTATTATATAAAAGCTTATTAGAATATTGAAAATTTATTTGCTGATTGCTGATTTTCAAAGCTTCTTAAATAGTTTGAATTGACAACTATTAATTTGTTGTGGTAAGGTAATTAAAAATTTCAAAAAATTTTAATATCAATGTTTACGCAAATAATACAGAGTAGATGAAACATCAAGATTTGAAAATTATTAATGTGACTTTTTGAAAAAGTTCCCATGAGTGGTAATTAAAAAATCGATATATTATATATCATGTAAGTATCCATTCGATTATGTATTGCTTTGGTGAGCTCCAAATCACTAAATACAATTTAGTTTAATTTTTATTTTGCTTCTAAAAAGGTTGCATCTGACCATCACTGTTTTATAAACATTCAAGCTTTAGATATTGGCAGAAATAGTTAACTAAAGCAACTGGAAAAAATTGAAAAAAGGTACTTGGTAAAAATCGTTGGTTTTATAAAAGGTGCGCTGCAATGCAAATGATATTTTCTTTGCTGGCTGCAGCGCGCAAGGCTCGGATGCGAGCAACAGTTTTTACGCAGTTAAACATACGCGCCTCGAGTTGAGAGGCATGCACATTTTAAACGGTAGTGGAAAATATAGAGGATGTGTGTGCGGCAACCTTTCAACGACCTTTGACCCGCAGTTAAAATAGAATAAGTCGGAGTCGGAAAAGGTTTGCGGATCATTCGCGGCGGGTATAGGTATAAAATAATTAGCAGGGGGTTGTCGACTAGACAATATATGATATACTTACGAGAAGCAAGAGTCGCACGAAGCCGGTGGCAGTTTTGAGGTGGCCCTGTATGTCGCAATAGAGAATCAGATGACTAGTGCGTTGCCAAGCCATTGCGTTAGATCCGTGTCGATGATCGCCGTTGCCGTAACTCCCATGATAATTCGCGTGCGAATCCCAAGAGTGAACCGTCGAGTGAATCCCAGGAGAATCCAGTCCCGAAGATTGAGAACTGATGCGCCCTCCTGTTCGGCTGCCTGCTGCGTTTAAATCGATAGCGTACCTAACTTTGTTCGATCGCATTTTTCGCGTCCTCTCCTTTATTATCAAGCACCCCTATACATTATACTACTTGGCTGCATTTTTTACCTTTTTCTTTTTTTTTCGCTCGCTCTCTTGCTCGCTCTCTCTCTCTCTTTTCTTTTTCTTTTTTTTTTTTTTGTTGTTGTCCTGCGCCTTCGCTACGCAAACGTGTGAGACTGTGTCTTTTCTGTTTTTACGCATTTTATACTATCACGCACACACTGTGCCTGTTATTGCTGCTGCTGCTACGTCGTCTGACCGCACACTTTTTGCGCTATTAGCGAGCAAAAGGATACAGCTCCGATCCGCATTTTATTACTCGCAAAATAAAGTACCTTCGCTCGTTCGCATTTTAACCAAGATACACAGCATCTTTCGCTCTTTCTCTCTCTCTCTTTCTTTCTCTCTTTCTCTCGCTGTTGGAATCCGTGACCCTCGACTTTGTAGGTTTATTGAATGCGTACCTTTTAAACGAATACGCGTCTCTCTGCCTGGTGGTCCGAAAAGATGTTCACATAATTGATTTCGACGATTACAGAAAGAGAGACTGTGTAGCGCTGGTGCGAAAGTCAGTTCGTTTTTCAGTTTGCCAATTCTTTTTTCACGCCTTTCACGAATGATGATTCATAAAGACGTCAACGGTTCGAATAAATACGAGACGTAAATTAATTGAGCTTTGTTTAATTCGATTGGCAGCGCGCGCATCGTTGGCATCGCCGCAGATCCACAATAGAAGATCGCTGCTCGGCTATTTTTCCCGACCGTTATAATTACATCGAAGAGGCGCTCGGAAGGCGAAGAAACGCGCGCGCGACGCAAAGTCATCTCTGGCAGAAGCGGCAAAAGAGTAGATCTCGCTATACTCGAACGCGCGCAGGCATATTTTCCTTCGGTGTCAATTGCATTTTGTGGCGCTGCGCGTGTGCATATCATCCGTATCATATATGCAGCGCATCTCGTTTGCTCGTGGCAACACAATTATCGGCGACAAGGCCATTAACAATAGCGACAACGCACATGTCTGGCCGTGGTCGCGAAACTAATCATACAGCGCGTCCGAGGATCCAGACTTGTGTTTTTCTTTTTTTTTTTTTTTTTTTTTGCAATCATTGAAGGAGCAGAGCGGCGTCATCGCCCGACTCGAGCCGAGTGCACGTATACGTATCTCGAGCCGATTTCTCGCGATATTGCGCGAGAGCACGAAAAAAATTCAAGCCCGCGATGCACGCAAGAACAATTAGAACAGATGCAGAGCTCCGAGTGCAGGTACGAGCGCCGGCCGGACGCGCGAAATGCAGATTATCGCCGGGTCACGACGACGCGATCGTCTCTCTCGTATACCGTATGGATGAATTGCGTCTATGCATGCTCGCGCGTGCATTGCGAAAGTCCATATAGTTGTCGAGAGTCGCTGCCTCGTATACTTAGTCGCGCAGCGGCGCGTAATTTATACAGGGTCAGGACGGTAGTGCGGTATATAGCGAACAGCAACAGTAGCAGCGGCGACAATAACAGCGACAGACAGAGGCCCAGGCCAATGATCCACCTAATAACTACTTTAAATATATATGTAGGTATGGAGCATTGCAGGCGCGCGCGTGTACCCATAGAGTAGTCAGGTGCACAAAGAAGAAACCACGTGAAGCAACTATTACACGACAGTCGTATTGTGTTGCTTGGATTTGATGCAATAAAATATTTTGCAAACATAAGTAAGGCAAGTACAAGCTCGAGTAAGCATGGACTTGAAATGCATCGCGCTCCGTTTTCTCCCAATGTTAATTGGGCGTCGCGTATCGAATTAGTCCTTTTTGACTTCAGCAAAGCAGAAAATGTATCGGTGTGCCGATTCGCATCAAGGAGAGGCGCCTACAATAAAGCTCGACAAATGCATTGTAATACCGATCTCAAAGTCCTGTATATCCTCGGGCCGCGAGTAGGCGGCGGGCGGTGGCTCCAGATCGCGGATCTCCTCGAGGAGGAGCACCTCTATTTCGTCGGCTGCATACAAATCGGAGACCGAGCGAAGATGCCGGGACTCGCTCATTACTCAAGCGCCCAGCAATCTAAGCGCTAGCTGCTGCTGCTGTCGGCCCGTGCCCGCGCGAGCAACATCCGCCGCCCGTGATGCAATGCTGCTGCTGCTGTAGTGTAGTGGTGGCTGATGCAACGAGCTCGCGTCCGTCATTTGCCGGGGCCCGAGCGAGCTTCTTTGCATCGATGCTCTCCGATCGTGGATCCCCGGCGCTCATCCGGCTGCGCCAGTCTGTCGTCGTCGTCGTCGTCGTTGTCGAGCGATTGCCACAGCGGCTACCTGCAACCCAAGTTTTACCTTCATAACTCCTTAGCACCCAAGCCTACTTCCCGATCGGATAAAACTCCGTGCGGCAATTGTGTCTGCACGGCTCGCTCTCTATTGCGGCTGACACCTGCGCTTGCACACACACACACACACACACACACACACACACACACACACACACACACACTACCTACTGCGCCACTCCATCTACTCGTCCTACTCCGTCTATCCGTCAAAGCGTAAGCGGGCATTCGCGTAGCACCCAAAACTAGCATTAATTTGCTCGCGCGAATGCGCTGCTCGCTTTCCAACGACAACGACAATCTCTTCAATTTTACTACTTTACCTCAGAAATTGATGTCTCTCGAATAAATGCTTTCCTCTTCTCTTCCTCTTTGTAATTTCACCTCCTCTCCGATCGTCTCAACATCGCATCTTCTTTTTCTTTTTTAATCGATAAGCGCAGCTGCACATGCTTCATCGTGCCGTGCCATGCCTCGACTTGGCCAAATGATATTCATCGGCTAACGTTTATCGATTGACATCCTTGTCAACTTTATCCATGAAACAATTGCAAAAGGAAGCGACGCGAGGCATTTTTCGCTTTATTGCACCGCCCAAGTACTTGTCAATCTGTTGATACTTCAATCGACGGATTCAACGAAGACAAGTTCACGAGCAGAGGCTGTAAAATTGTCACTTTTATTGAACATACATTGTTTTTGCTTCGATTGCTTATGGAATCATGCGATAACGTACCTTTCAAATGAGCAATAAATCGAGCGAGTGCGTAACGATCAATGGCATTAGTATCTCGTTCGCTGATAAAACATCAAAATCTGTGCTTGAAACTCAACTTATCTGCAACATTCACCACCTAAGCCCTTATGCAGTCGTGGGGTTTATTGATTACTTTTCTGGATAAGAAGATGCTTTCTGACACTCGATCGACTTGGCCCCAATCACTCCGGCCAGTGCACAACTTTTTTCGGAGCTTAAACCTACTTGCACATTGATTAGATCGCGTCAATTTGCTGCAACTTCGTAAACGTTCAAGAGAGTTGACCTTTTTTCAACCCTCGAAGATTGACAAAAAATACTAACATAACCTCGGCGCAAAGTTGCACGACGCTGCGTGCGCGTCGAACGTAGGGGTGAGAATCTGCGAACCACCTCTCGAACTTGCAGTTGGAGGGGTGCGGATTGTGCAGTGTTGTTCGTTTCGATGCCCAGCCGGATTTTGTGAACACCGAAAAGTCGTCAACCCCTCAACCTATTTTAGCCTCGATCATTTAAAAAATGTTTTTTTTTTCATTTTTAAACTTTAATAAGATAATTTTTTTCAAATGACTAAAGATTATTATTTTTTTTTAGTAATTTTACTACATAACACTCAAGTAAAAAACCTATACACATACGGTAACTTATACGGTATTGTTGAAATCAAAAAATTAAGATAGTTAAAAATGGCTTAACAACTCTTAGAATATGCCAATTACAAATACGGTAACAATGCGACCAAAATGTAATTTTCACTCCAAAAAATCTCCAACTCGAATAAAGATAATGGATCCATTAATTTAAACATCGGTCAGAACGGTTTGATTTTAATGTTTTTTTGACGTCAATTATACCGATACAGCGTTTGATTTAAAATGCTGTTATTATGCCTAAAAAGCCGCGAGTAGTGACACGAGTAGAAATTAGATGTGTATCGCAGATATATTATTTTTAAAGAGCAGAAGAGCAGAAACTAATTCACAGTTCGGTAAAAGTTCAGTTTTACCATGTTGATCTCAAGAAGTATTAGTCAACTTTAAAGTATTTGATGTGAATGATAAATGTGTAAATATTAATATTGACAATCATCAGCAATATTACATTAACTCACTAATAAACAGAAATGAATTGTTCCGTGAACTATCTTAATTAGGAATTGTTTTTTAAATTGTCAAAAGTTGGTTATAGCGCTTCGCTTAACCTACAATGATATCCGTTCGTTTATGATAGTTTTTATTTATGTGAATAGTTAATTTGAAACTTAGCAAATAAATCTATGGAATTCAGAAAACTGTAACACAGGTAAACCATGGTTAGCATTTCATGTAAAAAATAAATAAAATCAGTCATTTTTTATAAAAAAAATTTCATTAAAGTGAATTATTCAAAAGACTGAATTGTACTTTTTAGGGGACTATTTAAAATAATCAATTTGAGACATCAACGACTGAAATCATGACAAAGCTTGGAGTTTATATTTTTGTTTTGTTTTTAACTACTTTGTCTATGATATTTGGTCTTTTACTATTTACAAATGGTTTTTTTTTACATAAAGTTGCTATAACCCAAACAAATTTGTGTTCTGATAAAGTCACAACTGAAAATAAACCAGATCGATTGTCTACAGTTCAGAAATGTTCAAAACCACGTTCTCGAATTGTATTATTGATTATTGATGCTTTAAAATTTGAATTTGTTGAGGACTTTCATGATGAAGCATCAAAAAATACATTCCATCGAAACAAATTACCTATTATTTCTAAACTTTTGGGCAATAAAAAAGACCATTCAAAACTGTTCAAATTCATAGCTGACCCACCAACGACTACAATGCAAAGATTAAAAAGCTTGACAACTGGTACCTTGCCAACATTTATTGATGTTCAAAATAATTTTGCATCTGATAGTATCAAGGAAGATAACTTTGTAACTCAGAACAAAAAAAATGGAAATATTTTTATGGGCGATGATACATGGATTAATTTGTATCCTGACACATTTTTAAGAGCATATCCTTCTCCTTCATTTGATGTTAATGATCTTGATACAGTTGATTTAAAAGTAAAAGATCATATATATCATGAACTTGAAAATGACGATTGGACTCTATTGATTGCTCACATGTTAGGTGTTGATCATTGTGGGCATAAACATGGTATGCATCATCCAGAAATGAGTAGAAAATTGAATGAGACAAATTCTTTTATTGAACAATTGGTAAAAAGTATAGAAAGTGATGACAAAGATACAATGCTCTTTATTATTGGTGATCATGGAATGACTGAATCTGGAGACCATGGAGGTGATACAGTGGATGAAATTGAAACTGCTTTATTTGCTTATTCAACCAAACCTTTGATAAAGGTACTAAATGATTCAACTAAAAATAACATAAAAACAGTGAATCAGATAGATATAGTACCAACAATATCATTAATTTTGGGGAATGCTATACCTTTTTCTAATTTAGGAAACTTAATAATTGAAGCACTTCCAAACAATAATTTTAATAAGAACTCAATTCAAAATGATTTCAATTTTATAATAGATTCATTATGGAAAACTATTTATCAAGTTCAAAACTACATTGATAAATATTCTTCTGAAAATTATTTATCCAATAAATATCAAATAGATGAGCTCAAATCTTACTACAACAATTTGTTGGAAAAATATAGGTATTTGAATAATGAAAATGATTTAACAGATTTTGTTGAAGCATCCAAAAAATATTTCACTACAATAAAAATAATTTGTAATGAAATTTGGGTAAATTTCAATTTTACGTTGATGTATAGTGGATTAGTGCTATTTTCTTGTGCAATGATAATATTTTTTATTATTATATATGGCCTAGAGTATAATCAAATGCATAAGTTGTTACAATTTTCATTTTTTATGTACGTCCCAGTTGTTATCTTAATAACATTTTTAACTTGTACATCGCTTTACTGGTTAAACGTTGTGCAAGATTTCAAAAATACTATCTATTTTTGTTTGGGTATTGTTCCTGTTTTATATCTCAGTATACTATTAATTCAAAATTGGAACTATTTTTCAAAGATGTGGTCTGAAGAAATTACTCATAAGAAAACTATGAAGAGTATTTTTCTAAAAATAGTCTTGCTAACAATCACTTTTGGTTTATTTTCTAATAGTTATATCATTGAAGAAAATAATATATTATTATTCTTTCTTGTGTCATTGATATTCTTTCACCTCTTTTCTAGTAGAGTAACTAGTTCCGGTGAAAAAAAAAATAAATTATTTGCCAAATTCAATCAAAAATCAATTTATAATGTAGCATTAACACTTTCCATGGTTACTTTTATCTGTTTATTCCTTAGAATTACTACATATTTTTGGAAATACAGAGAAGAACAAAAACATGATCTTAAAGAAATCTTTCCTATTAATTATGTAATAGGTAAACAAGCCTCAATAGTTTCCACGAATATAGAAGTGACTCTGATTTTGTCTGCAATTGCATTGCTCTCTGGGTATGTAATTCTAACAAACATTTGGCTTCGTCGTTGTGGAAATTTGGTTGGTTACTCAGGAAGTGAAATAATAGCTAGATATATACCTATCATAATGACTGTTAAAATTTCCATTTTCTGGTTAATGAAATTTCAGAACAATTTAATGATTAATAAAATACTCTTGTACCGTATTAGTTTTGTGCCTTCTATCGCTTATGCATTATTTATTATTTCTGTAATAATTATATTTTATAAGCCATTGATGGTGTACTTAGTGCCAAAAAGAAAAGAAACTCTGAATATTTATTCACAAGAAACTCTAGTACCTAAGCTATTTGAAAAAATGAAATCAGAAATGTACAAGAAGAAAGAAGATGATGATGATGTAGCAATTATTTATGGTCTTGCAACAGTTTACAGTTCATCCTTACTTCTATTATGTGTACTATTTTGCATCATGAATGTTTTATTATTGGGTTTTATGATAAGTCCTTGCATATTCTTTATGAATATAATCTGCATAGGATTGTTATTTGTGAATGCCATAGATAGAATACAGTACTCTACAAGTATTAGTGAGTTCAATAATTCATCTAATTCAAAATTTATTAATGACCGTAAATTTATTGTTGTTTCTTCATTGCATTACAGAAGAATTAATGCACACTCCAAATCATGTGATATTATGTTGGTTTCTTTTATCAGAATATTTTTTTTATGCCACGGGACACCAACCAATATTTTCAGCAATTCATTGGGAAGCTGGATTTTTAGGATTTGATTCTTCTTTAGAACTTAACAAAATTCGAGCAATTTTAATCGGTAAAATATTTTATCTCCAAATATTAAAGTAATAATTTCATAAATATTTTTTTTTCAAAGGTTTCAATACGTTTGGTTCTTATATAATATTTGGTTTGATGCTTCCACTCCTTATAATATCACCATTTACCATCAAACTCATCCCAGTTTTTGCAAAATTGTCAACAACTTCTTTATATGAACCAAATAAAGGTGAAATGGAAATATATCACAATGATAGATGTTTTCATTTGGAAATTTTTTCTACTGCTGGGCGATACATACTACTGCATGCACTCAGGGTGCGCTATTTTAATTTAAAAATAAATAAAATACTAGTACTTAATGCATAATTTTTTAAGAAATTATATATTTTTTAGGCGTTTGTTTGCATGCTTGTTGCAACCGTCCATAAACGACATCTCATGGTTTGGAAAATATTCGCACCAAAATTAATATTTGAAGGACTTGGCTTTATGGTCACAACTGCCAGTGTAACAATCTCACTTTTATTATTGTTAAGGATAGAAAACCAAATCAAAAAACTCATTTGTAAATAATTATAAATTTTTGTAAGTTTTATATGTTAAAGTAAAGTTGTTTTTAACGAAATCAATTCATATTCAATCGTGGCCCTTTGAAAAAAGCATAAATCGATTAACGCATATTTTAAATGATTATTTTTTTTGATCGAACAGAACCTTTATGAATTACGTCAAAGATTGAAAATAATAACCAAATCAAAAAACTGTAAAATGATATGAAACTTCAGAAAAATTTTTATCTCAATTGGTTCAACAATTCCTGCGATTTCTTATCAGTAAGCTCAAAAAAATGTGCTGAAATAAACGTGTTTACAATTTTTTTTAAAGCGAAATTTACACAGCAAAACACAGAGAACCCTTCGCGCGATGTAAAAATGAATAATAACAATTTATATAATAATAATAATAAAACAACTTGGACTCCATTATTAACAGCCAAATAGAGCTTCTGATTGAAAAAACCAGATTTTTTAAAAGATTAGCGTGGTACCACCCCTTAATCGAGCTTGACCCGAACATTTTCCTCACGAAAAAATTTAAATAATTTTTTTTGTAAATTTTTGTAATGAGCTGATAAGTTTGTTGGAACCATCATATACGCGTGTAAAAAATAATTCTATAATAACATATTGAAGAATAGAGTAAAACTTCTGACTACATTTATCTAAGTCCAAGGAGCGTTTAGATTTAATTTGAAATGATTAAAATGCCGTATTTGATTAATTCATAATCAAATTTATATATTTTATTTATTGTGATGATATCGGATTGAATATCAGGTTTTGCGTGTTTTTTTAGAAGAAACTATTACAGTATTCAATCGTCGTTTTAAGGTAATTCATGTAAACATAAATTCAATTGTTAACGAAAAATATGGAAAAAATTTTATCGATAATTACTTAAGGTTGACATAGACATTTTTACAATTTTATCAAGACTAATAATTAAGCTCAATTGCAAGATTTGAACCTTTAAAAAAGGGTATGAGAAGATGGAAAAAAATTCAAGGTCATTTCTCACATAACATTCATGTTCCTCCATTCGACTAAACACAATTTTTTTAGCCCGTTTGACTTGACGGTAGTCCATCGTATGTATTGTCAATTCAAGAACTCCTATTGGATTTCATTTCCAATCAATTCTTTCTATAAGAAATATTCATTATCACGGAACTCAGTTTTTATAAATGACAAATTTCTACTTGACCTTTCAAAAAGCAACAATTGGTTTATAGATTTTGAATGGTGTTTTTATTGTCTTTTTGGCAGTAAGCTAGCGCGATTTAGTAATGAAATGAAGAGAAGTTGACAATTTCGGAAATACCAACCAGTCGGTCGTGTATGTATCTCTTATACCTAAAGATATACATTTATTTCATGCATAATGTAGTCCATGGATCCACACCTGTTGGAAAGAAGTTCTGTGATAAATTTTCGATATTTGATTCAAAATTTGCATACTTGACCTGATCTCAATTTTTGAAAAAATTTTTAGTAGCACGACCTTTTATTTATTTTTGTTTTGTTTAAGTATAGTAGATTTTTTGGTTCTGAAATTCAAAAACTACTTTGTATTTTTGTTTATATTTTAGTTTTAATTACTTTTTAACGATAAAAATGTAAATTATACTTCTATACATATTTCACAAGTATTCTAGTACAATTTATACTTTGCTGTAAAACAAAGAAACAATATTTATAGACAAATGGATTTTTCAATATTTACTGAAAAAATAAAAACAAATAAAATAGCAATGTTAGTACTCATGAAATTCAATTGTCATTTTGTTCCTCATTTATCATAAAACGTAAACTAGTCGATAAAGAAAAAGTAACACGTAAATTGAACAACGTGAATGAATAAAAAGTATTGCGATTAAATAGCGTATAAATGTAATAACACAATTCAATAATTTAATATAAAGTAAAACGATCAACCTCAATTTCAAATTCGGGTGCAATGTATAGTTTGGCATAGAGAGAAGAAACTTGTACAGGACAAATATATAACACATTTATAGTATAATTTATATGCATACTAAATATCTCTAAAAATTTGCATACTACATATAAATGTTCAAACTGGTTTTTTCGATCTATCTACTCGACAAGCATTTTAAGTATGTGAAATAAAAACTGAGGCAACTATGACACATCTGTAAAATTAGTTGGTAATTGTTTGAACTGAACATTTTTTCCAGGTAAACTGGAAAGAGCTGGAAAGCAAATTTTTTGCGAAAACAAAAATGTATTTTTAACACTGCGTGCGCGAAACACGGGTTTTCTAACCTTGAAGCGTCTGAAAACCCTAGTTTCTCGCAAGCAGAGTTAAAATAGTATATTTTGTAACAAGTGCGCGAAGCAGTTGACTCATCCAGGAGTTGTTTTCACCCGAGCGTAGCGAGGGTGCAAAGACTCCTGGATGAGTCAACTTCCTCGCAAACTAGTTGCAAACGATATTTTTTAACTCTGCTTGCGAGAAACTAGGGTTTTCTGACGCTTTAAGGTTAGAAAACCCGTGTTTCGCGCACGCAGTGTTAAAAAATATCGTTTGCAACTAGTCCGCGAGGAAGTTGACTCACCCAGGAGTCTTTGCACCCTCGCTACGCTCGGGTGAAAACAACTCCTGGGTGAGTCAACTGCTTCGCGCACTTGTTACAAAATATACTATTATAGAAAATATACTAGTGCGCTTTTTCTGACATGATAAAGGAATTTAATGTTATACCTGGTGAAAAAAGCTTTAATTTCTAAAGATTCATAAGACACCTTGCGTTTTATAATCGAAATCTTTCGTTAACTTGAAAACGTTTTTTTCATAATTTTTTCATAAATATGTTTCATGTAATCCTTTTTTAACTTATCGCGAAATTTTCTTCGTTGTTATATGTTTACGAAATGGATGTCATTCTTGACTATATTTGCATGTAAATAATTGTGAAAACGAGCCAAAATCAATACTTTCACCGAGTCATAAAACGTTGAATTAGAGCACATTTAACACAAGAACAAATGATTTTACAGTCAAGTTTGAAATGGAATGCATTAATAGCTGCGGATCATTTTTAAAATGTAAGCACTGTTGAATGAATAAGAGAACTCATAAAAATCGTATCTTTTGTGCTCTAAAATAAAATATTTTTTCGCAACAAAAATAATACTTGTGTCGTACAAGTACATTATTTTTGCTCCGAGAATGGGGTAAAGGCAAATATGTTTGAACTCATCGTTTATCTCTATACGAAACAAATCTCTCAGGCACTTGAAACTTGTGAGTACAAAAGAAATTTGTATCATTAACATAGAGACCTGATGTATTTTGAATATCTGTTGGCTTTTGCTGGGCATTGATCGGCATTAATAATGGCTAGTTTAGATGACTATGTTGGGCATGTCCTTACGCTCATCTACCGAACGTTCGATCGAGGCGAAAAAAGTTGGAAGACGATCGGAACTATTGCGAAATGTCGTGGCTTCGGCCGCTCGTCGAAACGTCGGTCTGTGAAATAAAACATCACGAAAAGCCGATTGGACGTGTCCACGTGCGGACATTTTGCACGTTATAAATGCACAAAGTGTATAGAGCAGATCGCTCGCAGTGCGTCAGTCAGAAAAGATACACAAGCTTGCATACAAATAAAGTAGGCGGTAGAAAATCAGATATGTAACAATGTACATAATACACAGTGGGTAAGTATAACCCACCTGCCACTTTTGTTATTGCATGCTTACTCAGCATTAGCTCATAACGTTTCATAAGCCAGTTTTTCGCAAGATGCAGCGCTGCGCTGCACTTCTGTGCGAGCGAGATTGTCTGTCTGTGTGTGTGTGAGTGCATACACACGTACACACGTCTATACACAGTCGGAACACGGGCAAATGCGAGCGTTACAATGAAAGTGAGTCAGGTCGTCGGCGGCGGAGTCGAGGCGCAGAGCGCGCATCGCTGCAGCTATATCCGCTGCTCTAATTACTCAATCGTTGGACGCTCGCCGCGTGCTACCACTACCTACCTACCTACCAGTACTAATCGCTCGCTGCCGCTCAGGACGCGCCGCAGCACTACTGGATGCATTGCGCTCTATACGTGCGGTGCAGCCGATTGCCGAATTGGACGTTGCGCCGATCGAGAGCGCCGCCGCCGAGTCGTCGAAGGCCAAAAATGGAAGAAACGACTAACGCGACTCGAGGTGCAGGCAAGGAAGTTATATTACGATCGTTGCAACAATGGATGGATGCAAATCTTGTGCAGGACTCGTCGATCGAAGCATCGCGAGAGCGCAACATCGTCGTCGTCGCAATCGAGCTCCAGTTGACTTTGAACGATCGATCGGTTCGCGCACGAGCGCATCTTTTTTTTCATATCGCGAATGTGGTTCGTTGGCTTATTATACATAGAGCTGCTATATGGATCCGAGGCAGAAATCTAGTAGCTGGAAGCCTGTGGCGGACCGAAAGAAGAGTGAAAGTTGGCCTCGTGTGTTGTGCAGCGGCGAGCTTCCGTTGCGCGCTCGTGCGTGTGTGCTCGCGAGGCAGCGATCTTGGCAGAGGTTGCGGCGATTGCGACGCGCTACGCTGGAGGTGGCGGTGGCGGCTGTCGGCAATCGGCGTCGATCATGGGATATACGACGAGAGATAGCCGCGTCGTGGCTACGCCTCCGCGCGCGGATCGAGCGTCCTCCTACCGAGGCGCACATATTGCTGCAGGCCGCGAGTCACCACGCGGGCCACTTTGTCTATCGCTGCTGACTCGCGCGAGGCTCGGAATTACGTTCACGTCTAGCTATATACGAGGTGCTCGTCGCTCCAGTGGAGCCACCGTCGATGCACTGGCTCGGCGGTCGCAGTTGCAGCCGAGCTCGTTTTCCGGGCAAATTTTGCGACACCTCTCGCGATCGCGGGCGCGCGCGCGCGCAGGATTTCCGTTCGGTTTATTGCGCCAGCTTCTTGGAGCACATTGTTTTCGTGTTTTTTCGCCATGACTATTGTGATGTGTTGGGCTCGCGAAGCCGACTTTTTTCTCATCTCCTTATTGTTAGACTCGTTACCAGCTATTATGGGGCTACAGCTCTATTCTTTACTCTTCTTGATTTCGTCAAGTCGCGCGCGTGCCTCGAAAGCACACGACTCCCCGTACACGTATTATACGTACGTGCATTCTCGTCTCGTGTGCTCCATACCTTTAGCCTTGATACCGATGTCTCTAATTCATTGTTCGCTTGGCTTTTTTTTATTTTTATGCGCAACTCGCCTTTTCCACATTTCCCGCGACCATTGCAATCGATCCCAACGCTACTGGCTAAATGGACTGGCTGATAAAGTAATCAAAGTACTTGGTTTATTATAAAAACATTTATTAAAAATCTTCACAATAATAAACAAATTAACAGCGTTTTTCAACCGTGGCATGCGGTATTCGATATCAAACGATTCGTTTTCCCATAAATATATATGATATATAAATAGTACGTATATGATAAGTTGCATCGATAAGATAATTGTACAACGATGACAGTAACCAATACTTTATAATGTATCATTGACGATTAACAAATCATTATGCGAGTAACAATTGTTCTTGACACTAGTTTTAAGAATATATACTCGCCTTTGCGTGAATTTTCAAAACTTACTCATTTTTAAGCTGATTCTTACACATATATTGAGCTCGATCCTATGAGAGGGGTGTGTGACATGCGACAAGTTATTATGTAATTTCGTTCGTTCATCGTTGGCAAGTTTGTATTCTTTTCTTTAATACATTAATTATTTGACTAAGTTCGATAATGATACAATTAAATTTACAACTAATAAGTTTTCGTGTTAAGTAATAGCAAGAGCTACATTGGACATTCATTCTCACGCTTAATAAAACACTCGATATAAGATCGGTAAATAGTATCTTTCATACGTTGTTCATCGATTATTTAATTCAATTACTTGTAAGCTTAAATGTCTCGCACCATTATTACTCTACTGTTAATTTCATTTTTAATTATCTTAATTTGGGAATAGTTCGTGAAATTTCACATCGTCATCTAAATATAGTTCTAATAAATGAGTATATACTTTTCGTTATTTCGCTTATAGAATGAGAACAATCATAACTATGATATTCGGATGGATGAATGCAGGCAAAACAATATACCTACGAATAATTGTAAAGAATAATAAATAATCAAAGCTTATTTTTAGCAAATGAAATTTCATGAACCAAAATTTCTAGTCGCAATACTTTTAATACTTATAAGATTGGTCAATCACAGACGCAATAATTTTTTTTTAAATTATCGAGTCATGTAATATAAAATGTCATTTTAATTAAGTAAGCAAACACTATCGTTACATTTGCATGTATGAACTTAATCAAAATAAACAAAAACATTTATTCATCTAAGTTCTTAATAATAATGGAATCAGTTTGAATCTACAAACTCGTGTAGAGTTTCGTTTGTCGACCTTAGCGCTACTCGAATCATGAGCTTATAGAAACAGATGATACATGTAATTTTCTAGCACATGCTACGATTAAAGAAAATCCTTTGAAAATTTAACAATCTTGTTTATAATCTTTTGAGAAGGAAAATTTCCTCGATTTAACAACTCAATATAATGAGGACAGTTTTTTATAGTTTTCAAAAATCAACAAATTTAATTGATTAATTTTTAAAAATTTTAGATAACTATGCTTTTTAAAAATGAGTCAATATTCATAAGTTTACAATTTCATTTTTGTGCAGAGTGGACCGACTTAATTACTCGATAGCATACATACTTTTGCGTTAGTGAAATCGAATTATATACACCATTGAAAGTCAATTGCAATTTCTAAGATCTTCAATAAATTACTAAATTAGTAACAACTCATACTAATTAATACTGATTATGTAATTATAATGACAGCTCAATAATATCGATAAGGCTTGCTAATATCGTTAATAAGCAGAAAATTTTTTAAAATTATTTTCAGCCATTATTACATTGTTTTGAATTGAAAATGTTTTCTTTTGTAATACTTTATGTAGCGATTTTGGACACTAAAAATGTCATGTATAAGTATACATGAATGCAAAGCAAAAAATAACGATGAATCACTGAGCACAAAGTTTATTTGAAATCTTTAGATTTCTTCATAACAACAAAGTGAAAGTCATCGATGCAACTGAACTTTCGTAAGCGCACAGTTCGACTCGAGACGATCCACCTACATACATCAGTCCAACTTCTGCGACTCGATTTCAGAACCACAACAATGAGAAATGATGTTCGCCTTCGACAGTCTAGGAATCAAAGTTTTTACACCAAATTATTATGTCGGACTTGAAATTTCATAATTAATTAGGAAGACTTGTCACAATTCAAGATATTATTGTCATAGTTACAAATAGTTACAATAATACAGTATACCTATAGCTTTTAATGAATGTAACGTCTATGGCAGATTAAAATTATAAACTACATTCTGTAGAAAACTATCTTAAAGTATTAATACAGTTAGAATTATCACTAGTTCGGTATCAATAGATCTTGATCCTCTTACTCTGTTGTTAAATTTTTTAATGAACACCAATGGCTATATAAGCTATGGTTTTATTCAAATAATTCGGGAACGAAACAGACAAATTAAACAAGACCCGATACAAATTGAGGTTGCTCTTCGTTATCCAGTATCATTTGAGATGATATCACAGGTTGAAATGTCGAGCCTTGGAAACCCATTGCTGATTCGTACATCTTTAATTTAAAAGTCAATAATTATAGTAATAACAATAATAATAATAATATTAATAATAACGGTAACAATAATAATAATTGTTAAATGATGCCCCGCAAATGTGGGCATAAAAAAATGATAAATTAACCGCGCCAAAAGGTATTAAAACTTACATTCCGATTGCCTGGTAGAGTAGTGTAATCTGGTGTCGATGAACGATGTCTGTTTGTAGGTAATGGATGTTGTATTGTGGCATATGTATTGTCTTGCGAAGTATCGCCTATCCCGAGACTCATATTACTACCTCGCCTGTCTACTAAACCAGTTTCTGGCTCACTAAAGACTTGCATAGTTAATTCTTGTTCTTCGTAGAGCTTCATTTTTCTGCAAACATTAAAATTAATAATTTTTTATATTTTGATCTAGATTTAATACAAAAAAATTCCTATAGTTGAAGATAAAAAAAGGTGTATCTGATTGAAAAATGTTTTCCATCGTGGTCAATCATTTTTTTAGTTCTAAAATTTTTCTAATACGATCAATATCACAACTTTATTCGATTTCTTTTAAGAATCATAAATATGTTCATTTGATTTTAGTAGATTGAAAGCTACCTTTTTTTTAATTTTTCGAATATATTTAAGTTTTGCTATACATAACGAACAAAAGAAGCGCATCCAATCGAATCAGAAAAAAGCTTAATGCTCAATACTGATGAGTAAAAACATAACAAGGTGATCAACAATGTTATTGTTAATTAGCACACGCAAATGAGATGCTGGTAGATAAGATTAATAGCTGCACCGGGGAAACCTGAATGAAAGAAGCTAACAAAGACGGCTCTTCGAATTATTCATCAGCGAAAGCTTTGTACGCGAATAAAAATTTAGATTATCGATCGAGTTGTGCTTTTTTCCTTATTCAATTTAAATTTAATGAAAATTTCTGAGTTTGATTTAGAATTGGGAAAATGCAAGAAGAAATCATTTATCTGCAGTTTCATTCCTGTTCAGTTAATGACGCGAACTAATTAAGATCAAGGTGATTCGAATGTGTTTTTAAAAAAATTATTTGAACTTACTGTTCGATCCATAGAGGATTTTCCGTTGTATTCAGCTCTTCGATGATTTGCTTTTTTATCAAACCTTCTTTCTTGCGAATGTCGTTTGGCACGCTAATGACCCAGTTTTTTAAACAACAGCAAACTGCAGTGATCGTAATGCAACCGACGGATAATATTATGAGCAGAGCAATGAGAGCAGCTAGAGCAACGTCAAATGATCCTTCTTGAACACCCACATGGGCAGGTAGTATACTTTCAATGGCAAGACCCGCGTAATAATTCTTCAAAAAGTCGTACTTTGAGTCAATTAATTTGAGCATCTGGGCTACTGACGATATGATTTGCGTCTTTTGGTCGACTACGTGAACATACATGTCGCACCTATAACGAATCAATCATTTGGTTGGTCGAGCAAGTAATAAGAGCTATAATTAAAGGTCGTTTATCCATCACCGATACTCACCATTCGCGTCGAATATGTCCTGATGCATCCACGTGATATCGAATATCGTCAACTACGATGCGGCTCTGCGTGACATCCGACAAATGTTGGACTGTTTCGTCCTTTTGTTGAAGAACTTTCTCCGGAGGCGATGAGAAAACTATTTTGATCAGTTGACTTGGTTCGTATACCCATACCTAAAAGGATTTATAATTATAGATTTTCTATTTTGCTTGATAAATAAGAACGATAAAAATGTCATCTTACGTGAACTTTTGTGACAGCAAAACGTTCGGGAAACGCAACTTCTTTGGCCACAACTTCAACAATGAAACGATCCTGGTTGTATTCGGCCATGTAACCACTAGTTACAAGTTTACCGTCTTGACTAACGTTAAATGGACTTGGCACGATTGAACCACTCGATTTTTGAGATTCGTATTTGTAAAGGTTGGAACTAGCTACGTAATATTGCACTGTCCCGTTGTCACCGAGATCGATATCCGAAGCCGTGATTTTGGTCACGAGTTCGTTCAAATTTGCCATCATATTTATACCGGCGTAATAGATACTCTTTTCAAAGGTAGGTGGATTGTCGTTTTCATCAAGGATATTTATTGTTACGTTAACGTATCCGTGCTGCTGGTTTTTACGTGGGTGTTCGTTGTCTCTTGGATCGATGTAAAGATCAGGATCATTTGCGGCGACAATAGTCAAGCGATAGCTGCTTCGTTTCTCGCGATCAAACGAGTTGTTCGTATAAATGCTGCCGTCTGACTTATCGATGTAGAAATTATGACCCTGGTGGCCTGAAACAGCATAAAGAATAATTTAGACATCGCATTTGTGGGAGAATCGACGATTTTTTTCGACTTCATTTGACTGACCAGATTTGATATAGTAGTAAACTTTGGCATGGCGTCCTTCGTCTTTGTCTTCTGCATTGACTTTACCAACGTAATAGTTCTTTGGTCGATTTTCTGGCACACTGAAACTGTACTCCTCGCAAAATTCCGGAGCGTTATCGTTTGCATCCAAAAGAACGATAGTCAACAATCGAAGAGTTTCATAAGAAGTTGGAGTGCCATGATCTGCAGCTACCAAAACAAGCTAAAAAAATGTAGAAAACAAATATTAGAAATATACTTGGCTAATGGGATTCGAGTATTACTTCAAGCGCGTGGATTTTATTAAAAAATTTGTAAAAGACTGTTACCTCTATTTTACTTTTTGCTTCTCGATCTAGTATTATTTTAGATCTGAGTTCGCCCGTCTCTCGGTTGATCACAAATTCTTCAGTTTCTTGTAAATTTCTATTGCCAACTTTCAAGTGATAGCTAATTTTGCCGTTGTCACCGGCATCACGATCTATAGCTTTGACAGTCATCACGAGGTAGTTAGGTTCACCAGAATTCTAAAAATAATTTTGTTTTTGGTTTTGATTCATCACAAAGCTATGAAGTAATGATATTAAATTACCTCCGGTACTTCAACAGTAGCATTTGGCGACTCGGGCATAATAAACTCTGGTTTGTACTGATTAACCGGAATAATGCGTACATAAATATTGCAAACATCCGAATAGGGTCCTTTGCCATCTCGGTCTCTAGCCTCAACTTTGAGTTCGTAAAATTGTGCTCTACCTAATAGTGATACAGCTGGATACAGGATACCTGTTTCAGGGTTCAAAACAAAGGAGCCATCATCGTTTCCTTTGATTATTTTATATCGTACTTTTCCATTTAATCCTTCGTCGTTGTCTGTCGCTCGAACCTAAAGTACCATAGGGAATATCAAATTATTGAGTTATACAAGTACTATGTCATCTACTTTTGTGATCGAATGCATAATTCAAAAGCTTACTTGGAAAATCGGAGCTGGCGGATGGGTGGACAAATTTTCAGCGACCGATGCTCTGTAGTTGTGTTGGTTGAAAATAGGTCTATTGTCGTTTACGTCATTTAGTTTTATCAGGACTGGAACAGACGTCTCTCTGCGTAAATGAGCTGGGGCATTATCGCTGGCCATCGCGGTAATCGAAAATTCAGGCATGACTTCTCGATCCAGTACTGTAGCCTTTCCGACAGATATTTCTCCAGTTTTTGGATCTAGCAGCAATCGATGCATTTAACGAAGGCTCTATTAATATTTCTATTTCGATATAAATTTCGATGGATTTTAGACTCACCGATAGTGAAATCGGAAGCTCGCTGCCCGACTAAACTGTAAGTGATTTGACCGAAGGTACCTTCATCCTTGTCAACGGCTTTGACGATTGCAACTCTAGTTCCCGGTGGTGAGTTTTCTTCGACTTCGCTTACGTATGATTCTTTTTCGAATTTCGGACTCTCGTCGTTTATATTAACGATCGTTACAAAAACGTGAGCAGAAGCCGATAATCGAGGAACCCCCGTATCGTACGCCACAATAGTGAAGTCTAACTGCTTGGTTTTCTCGTAGTCGATAACTTTTCTGGTACGTACAATGCCTAAAAAGTTACGAACGCGTGAAAAGTAGGCTCAAATAATAAATATATGATTCGGAAGAATTGTATTGCGTCTGGAAACTCACCGGTCACATTATCGATTTGGAAATAAGGATTGGGAGGTTCGATGGCGTATCCTGCGATCGCATTATCTTCGTCGGTGGCACTGAAAGCACAAACAGTGGCTCCAACAGGCTGCTCCTCTTGCATCTCGACGGAGTAACGCGGATCGGTACGGCTCCAGGGCCGAACGAATTGTGGCGCAAACCTATTCAGGTCTATTATGGTAACGACGAGCAGACCTGCGAAGTACGTAGGAAAAAGATGTTGAAACGAAGTCGAGAGAAATATATAGAATCGAGAGCCGATTATGAATTTTCACTTGCCTCTGGCTTGTTGAAGCATCGGAGCCGAAGTATCGGTTACGAGTACGCTGATGCTGATGGTCGCAGCAACGTCTCGATCGAGACTCTTGACAACGGATACCTGGCCGGTTTTACGATCCACGGCGAAAAAGTCTTTGTAGGCAGCTGTGGCCGAGTTGTCTTGGACGCGACGGCCGCTCCTGTCGATGGCTGTGATTGGTTCCGTCATAACGAAGTTCAATGCATCGGGCTCGGAAATATCAGGATCGACGGCTTTGAGTACGGCGAAAACAGTGCCGATCGGCGTGTCCTCGGTAACTTCGGCTCGTTGGATCTCGGGCACGAAGTAGGGTGGCTTGTCGTTGCTATTCTCTACGTTGATCACGAGAGTGCTCGTACCGGTAAGACTTGGGGATCCTGCAACGGATACAAGACAATTACGAGTTGTGCGACAACGTCGAATTAATATTTCGCTCGCGGCATTCGTTTACCTTTGTCGAAAGCCACGACTTCGACGTGGTACGTGCTGCGAATGTCGTAATCGAGCTTACGCGCAACCACGACAGCTCCGTTCGTTTCGTTGACGACGAAGTCATTGAAGGCTCCTCGCTGTATGCGGTAGACTACTTCGGCATTGAGGCCATCATCGGCGTCGGTGGCACTCAGTTCTTTCACGAGACTTCCTACGTACGGAGTTGAAAAATCGACATCGTTAAAAAATCCTCCGCCAAGAGCATCGGAAACTACCGCAACGTACCTGGCTTGACCAGTTCCGAGACGCTCGCCATGTAATGATCTTGTAAAAAGACCGGCGCATTGTTGTTGACGTCGCGTACATTTACGCTGAGAAGACATTCGTCGATAAATAAACCGTCGCTCGCTCGCACCGTCAGCTCGATAGTGCCGGCTTTCAAATTGCTGTATACGTCGGATTTTGAGATCTTGGCTATGGTGATCTCGCCCGAGTCGGCGTCAATATCGAATAAGCCTGATTCATTGCTTTGAGCCAGCGAGTAAGTAATTTTCGAACTCTTGTCTGGATCGCGTGCCTCGACTTTCAACGGTGGCTCGAATTTTTCGGAACCTTCGTCGATCACGGCGCGGTATTGCTTTTGCAGAAATTGCGGCGGACTGTCGTTGGCATCGGTTAAACTTATCCGTAGGGAAACGCTCGTTGTTTGACCATTACCTTTGTCGTCCGTTGCCTGAAACAATTGTTCGTTTCGTACATGATACATCGATTTTCAAAAGAAAGTTTCACCATTGTCGGTGAGCGATAATTTACCTTGAAATTAAGAAAATATTCATGTTGTTCTTCGTAATCCAAACAAGGTGACCTTCCTGGAGTTTTACATGGAGCAACAGATATGCTACCGTACTTCTTGTCTACTACAAAATGTTCAGATCCTCTCCCTATCAACTGGTATACTATTCCAGAAGCTCCAAAGCTGAAATAAATTGAATATACAAAATACAAAATAGGTCAGATACAACTCGAATTCAACACATTGAAATAAAATCAACAACTTTTGTGAAAAGTTTATCGAGAAAAACTTACCGTCCACTGTCGCGATCTTTAGCGGTGATGGTAATAATCGGAGTTCCTGACTCTGCTATTTCAGAGACTAGTGCAGAGTACGATGAACTAGAAAAATATGGTGCGTTGTCATTAATGTCAGTGATGTCGACAGTAACTGTTGCCGTCGATGAAAGTTTCGGATGAGTGTGAACTTCTTCGGCAACAACCTGTAATAGAATTTTGTGTGAAAAATAAAATTATAATTTGTGATTTTATACATTTCTACGTTATATATCATTAGTTTTGAGCATGAGCATATTTCATTTCTTAATAGTCAGACTCAAAATGAAATTTAATATTTCTTTCCGCGTTATTATATTCATTGGCGTTCAGTTCATGCATTATTATCTTTTAAGGGGAATAATTTCTAATAATAGTGCTCATTTAAAACGTCGTTCGTACGAATAAATGAAATTTTGGATTTATCTAGTTGAGAACATAGAAAAAAGATACAAAACTGACCAAAACAATGAATTTTCGTTGATTTGGATTTTCGTAGTCGAAAGAGCCGTTCGTTACTCGAATGTTCACTGATGTACTACCGGTGGCTTGACTCGGCTCCACGGAAAAAGCTCCAGTGATGTCTTCAAGGCGCAAACTGAAGACCGAGTTGAGACCCTGGGGATTATGAAACTCATTTTAGTATAATCACGAATGAGCTTTGTAAAATAATTTAAAAAAATACACTCACAATATCTGGATCTCGAATTATCATATTTAAATGCGGAAGAGGAGTTCCATTGGCTATGTTTTCTGGTATAGATACGGCGTATTCTTTTTGATTGAAAGTTGGAGGTTCGTCATTGACATCTTTAATAGTCACTGTGGCTTCGATCGTCGACACAGAGTGTTCATCATCAGCAGGCTGGCCATCAACGATCTCGCGAGCTTTGACAACAAAAGTTAGTACACCCGTTGAATTGTCAAGGGCTTCTCTATCCAGTGGTTTGGCAGTGCGCAATTCACCAGTTAGTTGGTCCAGCAAGAAGTAATCCATTGGATCTACATTGTAAATTGAAAGATTCAATTTTGCGATTGATTAAGTAAAAAAATTATAATTTCACGAAACAAGTTCTACTTTAATGAAGAAATTTCGAAATAGTTAAAATTTATAGATATCACAAATGGCAAGTGAAACAATAATTACTTGTAACTAATTCGTAGGCAATTTTGCGCGGCATGCCTCGATCACCGTCCCTAGCTTTTACAACCATAACTAATGTACCAATTGGATCGTCTTCCTTTACAACTCCAGTTAGGGAATCTAAAAATTCTGGCGGATTATTTTGAACATCAGCTACTTTAATTTCCACACCAGTCGTATTACTGTTTGACCCATCCTGCAATAGAAATTACATGAAAAAAGAAAACATCGATCGTCAATGGAAAAAAACAATAATCAATGGAATTGCGACTCTTACACTTGCTCGAAGTACCAATTGGTAAAAAGGTCTTTCCTTATAATCTAATGGCCGCTGCAACACAAGAGCACCAATATACGTATCTTGGCTTTTTTCGATGTCTATTATCTTAAACTTGGTACAAGCATCTGGAAACTGTTGAAAAAATTGTAATAATGACAACTTAAAAGTGAAATTACATCTTTTCTAAAATTGGATACAAGCTGGAACTAAATTTTTGTCACTCTAAACGCTTACAAAATTTCGAGAAATTTTGTTAAAAATTTCATAAATCAGATTGTAACAAAATTGAGCAAATGTGATAAATATTTAAAACTCATTCAATGAAATTATACTTTTACTTTTTTTAAACGGAACTTTTAATCACGATAAATATAAATAAGACTTTTTCTAATTTCTATTAAAAAAAAAAGCATTTAATAAACATTTTAATTCACGCATTATCATTTAATAATATTTTTGAATCAAAATTTTTTCAATTCTTTAAGAAATAGCAGAAGTAGAACAGATGGTAAAGGTACGTTACCTGTGGTTGGGGTACACAATCGACTTGAATATTATCACCCAATAAGTCCGAGTCTGTCACACGTATTGCTGGAAGAATAGAAGTGCCCGGAGCAGCATCTTCCGGAACAATCGCCTCGTATGGTGTTCCGATAAACTGGGGTGGATTGTCATTTTCGTCTAGCACTATAATGTAAGCTTCTACTCCAACGATATTTGGCTGTTGGCCTAGAGACACTGAATCTTCAAGCGTTACTCGAAATCTAATCGTATCAACTTCCTAAAAAATAAAGACAATTTTTTATTATTCTACCAATAAACTTTATTTTAATAAGAAATTAAAGCGAAATTAGGATAATAATAGTATATGAAATCAAGTATTGCCAATATAATAAGGGAGCTTGATTCGTTACCGATTGCTTTTTTGCCGAGGTCAAAAATATTTTTCTAAATATTACGATCCGAAATCTTTTATATTATTTCTCAAAATAAAATGAAAAAGTTGAAATGTTCTTTAAATTCGTTTCATATGGCACATTTAGTTTCTTTTCAACACAATTTCGATCGATGTTATATAAATTTGTATTTGAATTATAATCTTTTGCTAAATTAGTAATTAAACAATGTTTTATTATATGATGTACATTACCTCACGGTCCAGTGGCTCAGATAATTTGACCACTCCAGTATGTTCGTCAACGCTAAATTTGTTAGTCAGTTGAATACCATACTTTACGGGCGATCCTTCGGGATCATGACCTTTTAATGTGAAAACTTCGGATCCAACTGGTGTATTTTCAGCCAAAGGCAGTCCCATTGGATAACCCCCGGCTTCAAATGTTGGTGGTTCATTGACATTGTTGCATACTATAAATAATCAATTGTTTCTCAAAAGATTTCTCTCAAAATATTTATTCGCAGTATTCATTATGTTGAAGACCTTATTTTCAAAAAACAGCTATAGAAAAATATTGACGAAACCTTAACATAAAACTTACCAACTTGCGTGATCAAGAGGAATAATAGAAATGAATTGCGCGTTGCAGCTATCATGATTTTTCTGTAACAATAACATGTAACAATAGCATTTGAAAATGTAGTACAAAACTAAGGTAATAATTTTATTCGATTAATAAAATGTATCTTCAACTCAAATACAATGATATTTTAGAATTTTCATGTACAGACGCGGACACAATAGTAAATGCGCTTATACGTTGAAAATGGTTGGGCTCTATGCCAATTTCGTGATTTGATGTATAGCATAGATAATTTTTTCTGTGGATTTGGACATTTTTTTAAGTAGCTACTAAGTGGCTACTTCTGACATTATTCAATGAAAATCGACGCGGAATTGTTTTTTTAGAAATTATAGAAACAGGTTTAAAACGATGGCTTCCGTGTTTCTATGTGGAAGTAATTAAAGAATCTTGTATACCACCTGTAGATTGGCATTTGCTATACCTTAGATCAAAGTCAAAACATGAACTGTCATAACAAAAAAGTCATTTTTTTATCAATATCCAAAACGATGTATTGGATTATTATGGAGATTTTTCATGCTTATTTTTTGACGATAGAATAAGTACGAAGGAATAAATTCTTAATTATAAAACCATTACGCTCTGTGGTGAAAATAATCTCCAACTAGTTTTACCGTAAATAATTAATTGAGAATCATAAAGTCACCGATTGATATGTAACACGAATGTATAATAACAATAAGTTCAATGATTGCATCTGATCTTTTTTCATTATTTATATCAATAACAGCGCTTGATTTTTCAATAATTTTCGTACATAATTATTATTTCAGCCGAGTCGGCAGAAAAGTGGCTTATTAAATTTGTAGAGGGTGCTGCTCATCTTTTAAACGCCGATAATACTCGATGATATAGTGCAGTGGAGGTAGGAGAAGAAAGCTACTGTAGTCAATAGACTATTTGCAAACCTTAGCTTATCGAACTAATTTGTCATGCGTAAAAGCAAACTTGCCGATGTTGACAAAAAATGAACTTGAGTTTGGGTATGAAAAATTTTAAATCGAAAATAAATATAGTATTATTATATTACTGTAAAATGACTTTCGTTGAGCATTGTCCGAGCTTAAAATACGATCAGGACCTATACGAGGCTCGCGTATAACATTATTTTTCTTTACATTTTCAATTGACTAATTTTGTCGATTCAAAAGATAAATATAAACTGGGAAAAAATGAAGCTCGCTCGAACGAAGGATCATTATTGCAATCCGTTTTAAATTGCGTGGGATGATATTTCTGAACGTGAAAACGAGCACTTGACAGGGACTCGTTGGGCAACGTTCAGAAATAATGCGTACGCCTGGAAAACAGGACTAGAGAAAGCTATCGCTCGGGCCGTAGCGCGCATAATAAGTATTACATAGCTAGATATACAGGGCACGAGTTGCTTTGGTCGGAGTTTCGGAAAAGGAAGATATTGGGCGAATTAGGAGCCCGATCCGAGCCAGGTGAGTCGGCGTATAACAAAGTGAAAGTACAGCGCATAGACGTCGGATGGCGAGCCGTGGACTGGATCCGCTACGGCATTTTACAAATTGCACGGAGCAGCTAGCTATGCGCCCGTATAGGCGCGAATAGAGGCACACTGCAGCGAAGGAGTCGCGCGGAAGGCTCAGCAGCAGCGAGATTAGGTGCAGCGCGCACGGAGCCCCGTGCAGTCGAGAGTGCCTCGAAACGGCACAGATCTCGTAGTCGCGCGTCGCTAACGGTGCTTACAAAAGCCGTCCACAAGTCTGGGTCATTGACCGCTCGGGGCGATTCGCCGCTCGTAACTCGCGATCCTCGTTCAACATTATGTATCTTACTCACCCTGTGCGGTGCATGGCGCGAGCCGATGCCCTGGGCGGTCTCTCGGGACTTGGAGCAGCGAGTCTGGCTTAGGGTCCGGGCTGAGGGTCGACGGGGCCGCGCGGCGCCCTCGAGCAGGTCTCTGGCATCGATTCGCACTCGAGCTGGCCCGCACTCGCATACACACGGAGGCACACAGCCGCGCACGCACTCGAATCGCACTCCGATTGACACGAGCTGTCGACGGGGGAGTCGGTCCCCCCGAGCTCGAGGCTCGAGAAACAACGAGATTGCAAGCCTGGGCTCTGTGTACGCGACGGCCCCTTGTGTGAGCTGTGTCGAGCGCAAACTAAAGCCTGTGCCGAGTCGCGCGCGAGGAGCTGACTTTTGCGATTCTCGGAGGCCTGCTGAGCTCCTTGAGCGACTCCCCCCGCGAGCTATAGCTGCGCTATGTGCATGCGTGGGTATTGGTGTGTGTGTGTGTGTGTATACTGTGTACTGTGTATACGTAGCCGACCGCCACTCGCGCAGTCTCGCGCAGTCTCGCCTATGTATAGTACCTGCAGGGCCGCTTTATAGCCGCGCGGCTGGAATGCACCTTTCACCTGTACGCGACTCTGCCCCTGACAAAGGTCTACCCCGCCGCTTCTCTCGTGGCTGTTGGCGCGAGCGCCAAATAAAAGCTTGGCCCTCCAGTCTGCGTAGCTGCACTCCCTCCTAGCTTCCTGTGAGGCGTTTCTCTCCGATTCGTCAGTCAATTCGAACGAATCCCATTCAATTTGTAATTGACTCTACTTGGAATTTCCCTATTCTCTTACTTTCATTCGGACCAAATTTACTGCGCCTTTATTTCAATTACGAGTAACGCGAGTAATCAAATCGTTCCGCCTACAATTCAATCATAATGATGGTAAATAATATAAAATGCCTTTTTTTCAAATATAATAATGTCGACCTTTATTACGAAAATGAACATTGTACACATTTCTAATGCTTGTTTTCAGAGAATTGCAATTACATGTTTTTTGAGTAATTGAATAAATTACAAACACACCACTAAATCTAAATATATTTTTCAACAATGATTCATATTCACAAAAGAATTAATGCAACAACTAAAGTCTTCGTTTTTAATTTTGCCACATTCCTTTCAATTAAAACAATGAAAATAAGCATTTTTCAAATGAAATCTTAAAATACACACTTCTCTCGCAGTTAAAGACATACATTTTGTGACAAATACAAGTTTTATTGTTAAAATTCAATTACGATTTTTATTTTACTAAATTATAAATATAATCTAATCTGAATATGAAAAGCAAGTTAAACAACTAGTCAAGTAATGTAAAAAGAATGTTCTCTCTGTGAGATGATTGCTTAATTTAAATTTACATGGAGTAAAAGCTACATTATGTATTAAAAGCTCCAAAGCTCTAATCTGTTAAAGCATGCAATAGATAGTTCCATGATAACAATGAATAGAACATTGGATACTTTTTTTACTTTTACGATTTTAATGAGAAATATTTAATATACCTCAAGACTTGACACGAGTCTATTTCAAATTTCATTTCTATCCAAGCTTATAGTAGTTTTAAACTCTACAACGAGTTTTCTTTTTTTTCATGTATCAGATTAGAGTTTTCTAGGTAAACTATATCATATATAAATGTATTTATATATGCAAGGGAAATAGAGTTATTTAATATATTGGCAATTTTCCGTTTACTTTTGTAGCAGTGTTTGAGATATTTATTTAGTCTTAGTGTACAAAGTTAATTGTCAGAACGTTTGAAATGACAGTCCACAATTCTCAAAATTAGTTTCTACTTAGCATAGATTTTTGGCATTACAAAATGATAGCTTTGATGCTTTAAAAACTCATATATTTATTGTTTTCGTCAATACATAAATATCGGAAATAATAGTGAAATTATTCTGAAGTCTGAATAGTGGAAATGTGGAGGCTGCATTTTTCGACATTACAAGGTTATCATTGATAGCAAGGCATTCTTAGGACGATGCTAAAACGTATCGACTTGAAGATTGTCTGACATGAAAGCAAACCTCGAAAATTGTGAAAAAGCTTATTTAGCTAGATTATATACTTTTTTTTTTCAACGACATTACTTTGTGTAAATCGTCCATTTACTTTATAATTCTATACATCAATTAATGCATATTATCACTCCTAACTCTTTTATGCTTCGCAACTTAGGTACATTCATCAACAACCACTGCTTATTTACTTTTGTTTTTACCTCTCTGATTTCCCTCTATTCACCAAATACATTTTAACTGCATTACAACATTTTTAATATTATTTGCTTACTGATATTAGACAAATTATTACTTAAATTTTATTAATTCACCATAATCAATCTTATGCAGGTTTTTGAGAACCCTTCTTGCCAATAAGTGATTTATGGATGTGTGGAATGACACCTAGAATTATTAATGTAGATATTAATTTTTTTTTCATAAAAAATAATAAATAAACTTGATTATAATCAACTTACCACCACCAGCAATGGTTGCTTTGATCAGACTGTCAAGTTCTTCATCTCCTCTAATAGCTAATTGCAAATGTCTGGGAGTGATACGTTTGACTTTTAAATCTTTTGATGCATTACCCGCCAATTCAAGAACCTAAACATAAGTTAATAAAGTTATAATAAAGAATTTAACCATGGACAAATGATTATAAATAAAAAATATTTACTTCAGCGGTTAAATATTCCAAAATTGCAGCACTGTAGACAGCAGCTGTGGCTCCAACTCGTCCATGACTTGTTGTTCTATTTTTTAAATGCCTATGAATTCTTCCAACTGGAAACTATAATTAAAAAATTATGAAATATTAATTATATTACATACTGAAGAAGCTATTACTTAAATGTAAATTTAAACATGAGTTTATTACTTTAATGATGGAGACAGTTTAAAATATTAATAATTTACAACTGTGGAAAAATATCAAAATATAAAAAAAAATAATTATACATATGGTAATAATAAAAAAGTAGATAATTAGCAATAAAAATATTAATTGATTCATTTAAAATGCAAGTGATAAAAATGAATGAATGTTTCTTCATGTGTTATTTAGGGTAAAAAGAGTATTATGACAGTCACTCGTTTCTTTAAGAGCATTTGAACACGATCGAATTAAACGCGTTGAATCGAACGAGTATACAGCTCAGCATGCAGCGTTTATTGTAGAAATACGCTGACGATTTTATCCACTTGGAAGGTAATGTTGAATTCGTGTAACGGAAACTTGGCGCGCGAGCAGTCTTATGTTTGTGGGACGGTATACTATGGCGATTGGCAAATACTAACCGACATGTAAACACTCGCCACGAACGTCCAACGTAAAGCGTCCGTTGCTTATTTCGAGTTGTCAACAATTATCAAGCGTACAAGTGCGAATTTGTTTAAAACACTTTTAAATTTAAATATTTAAACTCGGAAAAGTAGAAAAATTAAAATTTTAAAATTTTAAAAAATTAAAAAATTAAAAATGGCACAGGACAAGTAGAGTTTAATTACGAATATCAATAAATATAGACATTTGATGAGAAAAATTATTTGATATCGGAAAAATAATGTCTTTTGTTGAATTGCCGTATACGAAACAATTTTAAAATCACCAAAGAAAACGAAAAAAGCAACGATATTGAAAGCGGGGAAACATTTGACGATCGTACCGAAGACGTGGTCATAAAAAATCATCAATCAAGGTTAAAAAATGACGAATCTAGACGGACAGAAGTTTATTGAAAAGTTTCGGAGCGAGATAGAGCTTAGGCTTTCGCGCCATTTGTTGTTGATTTATCGCGTCAGCTCACGCAGGCGCGGAGCCACTCTGATGGAGTAAAAAAGAGTCGCTATGCTCCGCAGCCGCTGGCGTTGTTGGCGCGCGAGAACGACAACGTAGACGCGCCCGGGACGCAGTCCAAGCTCTTGCGACTGGTCCAACTACTGGGAACCGATGTTTTTGTAAAAAATTCGATAGACACTTACTTGGAGTCCAGCTCGGGCCGAGCGAGAGACCGCCTTCGCTTTGGCTTTTCCCGAGTCTTTTCCTGCTTTGCCGCCAGCCTGCAATAAAAGCGGGAAGGCAAAATTTTAGGTTAATCTGGCATTACTACTACGGAGTCTGATGAAATAAGAGGACATAAAAAAAAACAAACGAAATCGATCGGCTCACCATTCTCGTAAAATCTAGAAGCTTTAGTGTAAAACAAGGCGCAAGGGCACGAAGCACCAAACTATTGTTGACGATTTGCAATCGCAAATGACTGCTCGACGAAAGCTACAACTTGTTTGTCTTGGCGTAACAGTGTGTGTGTGTCTAGGGTGCGCGACGCGGCTGCACTTGGTCACAGTTTAGTCTCAACTGAGCTCGCTTCGGCGCAGCGATGTTACAAGTTCTTGGCTTCGTTTTCGTGGCTGTGTCGCTCGGCGGAGCTGCTTGCGTGCTCGTATATTCGTATAATATGCCTATAGCGCCCGTAGGCAAGCTTCCATAAAGTTACTATCCCTCGCGCACGCGACCCCCTTCCCTTCCTCTCTCTCTCTCTCTTTCTCGCTTCTCTGTTCCTCGGCTCGTATGCCATATAACTATATATAGTACACATTTCTGGCGCGCGCTTGTTTTCGACTGGCACACACACAGCAGTAGTAGCTCGCAAGTCTCGACTTGTAAGTAATCCTACGCACCGACTCAGCAGCGTTGGCGAACGGCATCGAGCTCGCAACTCCCCGACTCCACATTCAGCTGCCTGACGCTCTCGAGGCTTGTATACCCTCGAATGGGCCGCGTAACGTAAGATGACGGTCTGCGTGCCGCGCGATGTTTCGCTCTTCTCGATAGCGCCTGCCTCAGCCTGTAGCGCGGATGGACCTTGGTCACCTCGCTGACTCGTCGACAAATTCCAGACTCGAATAAGAACGAGCGAGAAAAGCAAAGAGAAAGCACAGCCTACGAAATAATAAAATACCTTCGACGCCATACCGCGAAAAGGACAATCGCACAGATAAGGGACATGAAAGTTTACAAAGCTGCTTGCTGTATCTTGCCCTATACGCGAAACTTTTCCCATCGCGTCAAACCAATTCATCTTATTTTAATAACCGGTGTCGATTTTTTTGAATTTTAGCAAAAGTGTTTTTCTCGATTAAACTTCGAGTGGATATCGTGTCAAATTAAAAGTACATATTTTGAATAATGAAATACAGGTTTAACAGGGAATTTTTTGGAAGATTCAGTTTTGAAGATTTTTTGTTAGCATTCGTTCAGATCCTAATTCATGTTATTAAAAAATTTCTTTGACTTATTGTTTAGTTTCGAAATAATGAGATACACCACGTGTATATTAATATATATTTAATTGTGATTAAAGTATTTAAAAATTCTGGAATACATATTTGGTTAGGCGTAGAATAATTTCATCTCTAGTAAGTTAGATCCTCCGCTGACTCAGCCAAATGATCGCATTGCTCTTCTAAATCATCCTGAAAAAAGAAAATTCGATTATTTCGTTTGTAAAAGAATAAAAAAGATTCACGAGAAGGTTTGCAATATGAAAATGACCTCTTCGAGCTCCAGACATTTGCCCCACTCCTTGAGGGTGATCTTGTGATCGTTATCGGTATCGCAGGAGTCGAGGAAAGGCGCGATGCAGTGCTCGAGAGCCATGAGGGGCGCTCTGATCGGGAAGAGCTCGTGCCGAGAGACGGACCTGTCGTGGGGATGGCCGTCCAGATCGCACCACTTCCAGATGGCGGCGTTGGACCAGCGCAGGGTGTGATTGGACTCGGCCTCGCGCTGCATCTTCACGTAGTGATGCGTCAGCTCTTGACGATCGGCCAAGTCGCGCATTATGTTGAACAGCCAGTCGCGCATGCGACGCGGGAAGTCCAGCCGGTCTTCTTCTTTGCATGCCTGGAATTCGTATAATCGTGCTATTATTTTATTACTTATATGCGGCTAAATTACGAGTGAAATTGTCAAGTTAATAAGTAGAGCTCGTGATTTGCTTCTCTTCTTACAACTGAACTTTAGCTTCGCACGAAACTCGTTAGAGCAAATTTGAATATTTTCTTTTTAAATTCTACATTATGTTAGAAATATAATTAATAGCAATAGAATGTTAATCTAAGTTTCATAATTTATGCTACGGAATAGGGTGGTACAATTCTATGCCCTGCTACACCAGGGCAAGTATTTAAAAAACGCGCAGGTAATTTTAAGACAAAATGTTGACTTACGGGCATTTGTTTGCACTGGCCATAATATTCGATATGCACGTGCTGGTAGTCGGGTCCCTTGCAGCGAGGATCGTTGGTGTCGCAAAAGCACCTGGCTTGATAAACCTCGCAGTCGCTCCCGAAGGTCTCGTTGTAATTCGTGCAGACGTGTCTGCGGGGATCGTTTTCCTCGCCGCACTTTTCGATGCAGACGCACTCGGCGGCCCCGGAATCTTTGTTGACCTACGCTCAATCGGTTTAGCATTTTAAGCTCTCGGCAAAGCGATTGCAGTTGCGACGGAAAAATTATCGCCGAGTTTTACCTGGCAAACCCGTCCGGCAGCGCAATGCTTAGAGCGACACAGATCCTCTTGGGATGTATTGTTATTTAACTCTTCGTTCAATTCGTGACTGGATCCTTCGACATTTTCATCGGTTAGCTTGGGAGACGCCTCCGTGGTAGTTCTTATCCGGCGGTGATGCTTTCTTCTTTTCTATAATTTATAAACTTTGAAGAAATCTCGTGGAAGAACATTTCGAGTTGGCCCGATCAAAATTCACATTTCGATTTAAACGCATACTCTAAAACTCATTGTTGAGTTAATGTATCAAAAATTTCGCCTTTTAAAAATATACCGAATAGATTGAAAGCGAAAAATTCGACGGAAATAATCAAGTTTCAATTACCTCTGCAGATGCACTACCGATGAACAGCAGTCCAGCTACTAAGAAACCAATCAGCAGTACTTTACTTCCAATCATTTTGCAACTGAAGAAAAAGATTCGACGATTTATTGAGATGTAATTAATTTGTAGAGATGAAACATATTTTTATCCAGAGTATTTTTATGAGTACGTTAGATCGGACTTATTTCATTTTACCGGCTAACAAAAGGTATTGATTACCGCCTGCATATCTCTCGTTTATGCACTAGTCAGCATTACATGTAAATACACACTGATATCTGTGCTCAAACATGATCCATATTTAAAATTTAAAAAAGTCTTATCATCGAGTGTAATGCATTGTAAACAGAAAACACATCCACATTGTCACATAATTTTCTTATTAATTCAAACGCTGTCATTTTAAATAGAATTAATTTCAATTTTGCATCAACATCAATTTGTTAAAGAAAGTATGTGAAAATGAGTTGATACAAAGAAGCATGTTAATAACTGTCCTCTTTCATTTATTTGACATCAGAATAAAATACTTGCAGTGCAAAGTATAAAAGCCTCTAAAGTAGGCTCGATTTTCGTTGCTTCGAGTCAAGTCCTCGGACAAGTTGCAGGAAATATAATCCGAAAATAAATCAAAAAGCTCACGCGAGAGCGCGTTGGTCGGAGGCTTGACTGTGCGCGGCGTCTCCGCAGCTAGCAGCTTGTAAAATAGGGCGTACATGCCGCCGAACGCCTGGCGAGTGTAAGCGCGCCGGGGCACTACTTCTTGCGCTTTGATACATTTTATGTGCGCTGTCGCTCGCAATCGACCAATTCAATGTTCGATCTTGAACACAAACTTGAGATGATACCAAAATTTTGATGTAAATCGAATTGTACCACCATGTATGCAAAGATTTTTTCGGAATATTTTTCTAAAATAAAATACCATGCTGGTGTTTCTGTAATCTTTAGAGGTCTAGAACATTTTTTAGGAAAATGTTCAATAAAAATGACTTTGCTAATCATCACTCATAAAAGTCTCTGCTACTTTTCAAAAATTTTTCCAACGGAAGATCGCTTCTAAATCGAGTTTTGGCATAAAACTAACTTAAATTGAAAAGCTTTTTTCATAGTTCACTCAAAAGCTCTTGTCGGTTCGAACAGTACCATTCACGATCCGGTATTTCAATTTTCAACTGAATAAAGGCAATGTGCTCAAATCATTACCATCATCAAGATTTTTATTGAGTATCTAAATTATACATAGCTTGATGCGCTTCCCTTAGCTTTGCCAATTCAGTTAGAGAATAGTTAATAATTCAAGTTTAGCATACAAATAGACATTGTTCTCGTGATCGATTGCAATAGAATTAGACAAAATTGACAGTACAGTTGACAAAGTTCAGTCAATAAAAAATTCTCTTCTAGTGTAGTATGAACAATTTTATTGTAAATAAGTATAAATAAAAAAGACCAACCTGCGCTTGAAGTAAAAAATTAAAAATGCAACTTGGCACGTCTCTCTGGACGCGCAAGTAAAAACGGCCGTAAGCGCTAAATGCAATTGATAAAAAAACGACTAGTTGGATGTGACTTAGCAGTGACTGGCTCAATGGGCCGACGGAGACTGCGGCCTTCCGACGACGAACATCGAGACGGCTCCGATTTTCCGAATGATCTCGCTCATCTCGCCTGGCTCGCCCACCAATCGTCGCTCGCTCTCCATATAAACTTATTTTACTTACTTTTGACATCCGCTTCGACAATATCGTATCGCGCGGACTTGCAGCAGTCCATTGATATTCGACAAAAGCAAAGCTTTTCGTGACGCAGCTTATCCTGTTAGAGGTCCGATTTTTGGTCAACTTTTCATTAATTTTTTATGTAGAATTTTATGTACGATTGAAACTTCATATAAGTATTTGAACTCGGCCCCAACCCAATAATCGGTTACTTTTATTCAAGTCATATAAACGTTTGGACAAGCTTTAAAATCAATTAAAAGGTATAATAAATCAAATTATTATTCAATACTTGTAATTTTTTATTTACAAAGGTTTTTTTAAGTGAAACAATGGAAATATATTGCAATATAAGGAAGATAGGTATTGTATTGGCGCAAAATGATTTTTTCTAGAGATCTTTCAAAACTCTTTTGAAAAAACAAGATTTTACAAGATAAAGGCTGTATATGAACAGCACTTCTATACTGAATGGGTAAAATAACCCTTGTTCTTTTCAAGATGTTTAGTTCTTTCAGATAATAATTTCTTTATTTTATTCAAGTTGAATTAAATCGTTAATATTAATTACTCACTAGAATATATACGGACACGACCGAAAATTCGACCTTACTACACTCTACAGCCTAAACAAATTTTTTCAAAAAAAAAAAGGCTATTTCGTACAATTCTATTTATACTTTATGATCTTCCTTTTGAAAGTTTCAACGCCCGTTGAGATATCATTATCTTTTTAAATTTGTTGATTAACTACCGCGAATATATTTTACTACAAATGCACAACAAACATCTCCAGGGCTTCTTGCATTATTTTTTCAAATTTTTAAAACTAAAAATAGATTTAGAGGCGAAGTCGAAAAAAAATGTCTTGCATATAATTTTTGCTGCATCCTAACGAACTTCGGGTCTAGAACATCGGCTTATCGGCTATTCTTCATTTCATATAAAATTCCTAATCACTTCTAAATCCAAGGACCCCTTGCGCGTGATAATTTTAACAAATGCGAAGCTACACAATTACACATTTTTGATGATTCAAAACCAAGTGACAGTTCGATAATCAAAAACAAAAATAAAAATTGGAAGAATATGTTGATGGAATCAAAGTCAGAGTAAATTAATTAAAAGACATAAACGAATGTATGTTTTGTACATGTTTATATACATTATAAATTTTTTTTATTGAAATATTTGAATTCGAGATCATACTGATTAAGATTCGATACAAAAAACTTAGTCAATTGCATTATTTGATAAATGTTACATGGTAATGATTTGCAAAACTACAAATTTAACTACTTATCGTTAATGAAGTGTAAAAAGTTTTTTTACATTTTAAAGCATGCATTCAAGAATTTTAGATTTAAAAATCATCAAATAAATTTTCAATGACTTTTTCAGCAACATGATAAAAATTAGGAAAGCCAGTTTCCTTGGGGTTAAAAATAAAAAAAATTCATGTTTTATATCAAGTAGCCTCTTTATCAAGATCTGTACTGGATTGAAAAGTATTAATTTCAATAAATAACAAAAGTGTAGGAATATGCTGTACAAATTATTCAAATAATTCAAGTCCAATGCAATCAAAATTTATTAGGCTATGCTATTCAAAATTATTATCGGTATAAATGAAGTTATACAAGACTTAAACATATTAATAGTCTTTTTTTAAATGCCTCAAATAAAAATTAACTGAGTTACAAAAACCAAAAGCTTGCCTTTTAGACAGTTGATTTAATATAAAACTTTTTAAGTTTGAGTAATAAATAATTAGTTGCAATAGCTATCGCACTTACTTTTAATACATATATAGCTTACCAAAATTTGGTAGCACAGCCTATAAAATTTGAACCAACTTTACTAATATATAAAGGCATAACTTAATAAGCTTCAGTACAATTCTTGACTCATGAATTGATGAATTAAGGCCTGTTTCTCATAACTAATAATCTGACCAAGTCAAAACTTGAACAGAATTTTATAATTTTCCATTAAATTAGTTTTTAACTAGGCAAAAATATTTCAATATGAGTCGCAGTTGAACTATGCGCAACTCAGATTGCATTATGACGTCTGAAAGATTATAAAAAAACTATGAATTAAGTTACATAAGCTCTTTAAGGCTAATTTTAATCTTAAGAATTGACAAGCATTGTATTTTGCCTTAAAAAAGATTTTTATAGCACATGAAATATTTGTTCAAGTTTTTTTTTAATAAAGGAGGTCTCGGGAAAATATATTCCTATGCAATCGGAATGTAGTTTTCTCGAGTTTTCAAATGTTCTTTTAAAGATCACTTCATTTTTAATTTTTCTTGTGAAAATGTTTCCTTGACGTTTTAATTTTAGTTTGTGTCTTGACAATGTATAGAAAATATCAGAAAGTCACGAGCTAGAGTTTGGTATTTTGTAAAAATTAACGACGGTTATGGTAGTTTTGGCTGTTTGGATTTCCTCCAGATTGTCTTAATCCTCCTCGCCCACTTTCACCTCCACCGCGATTGAATCCACCACGCCCTCGGGTACCGCCGTGTTGACCACCTCTCATAATACCAGGACCACCTATTTAAAAAAATAGCTCATAAGTTAAAGTGATTAAAACTATTTTGAAATATAACCAATGATTTTCAATTATTTAGAATATCATTGATTCAAATACATTATCAGGCGTCTGCAAAGACTAAATCATTTCATACCTGGACCACGTTGTTGCTGCTGTTGAGTTCCTAGAGGACGAATGTTACCATCGTTGCTGGTATTCGATCGCCCACTACCACCTTCACGTGGTCTAACTTTTTTTTCTTCAACATTCAATTTTTGACCATTTTGATCCGGGAAATAGATTGGCTAAATGAAAAAAATTAAAAATTATTTGCTAGAATTCGTAAATGAATCTTCTTGAATAAATAAAATACTTACGAGATCATTAAGTACTTTATTGACAACGGTTGAATCTTCAAAGGTTATAAATCCATAATTTGGTACTCTGGTATTATTTTGTCCTTGAATTCCTTTAGCGTTTCCATTTGATTTGCTGTGGACACGAAGATCAGCAACGCGGCCATATCGTTCAAAAACTTGTCTCAAGTCATTTTCAGACGCGTTATGAGGGAGATTTCCAAGGAATAATTGATGTGCATCAGTATATCCTCCTGGTCGACTAGTACGACGCTCGCCATCTATGAGCATTGTTCAGTTAGTTAAGACTCTAATATTCTATTGTTTAATTGAGTTGAAAAAACTTACCTCTTTGCATAGGTCCCCCAGTTCTAGGTAACCTTTGTTGATACTGTTGTTGTGTCTGTTGTTGAAGGCCTCCCATTCTATGCGCATGTTGATTTGATGGCACATTGTTGGATGCTGGAAGAGGTGCTCCTGTTGATTGTTGATGCATAGGAATTCTGTCTTCTATGTGGAGATTTTGTACTGGTGGCTAAAATTAATGTAAAGATTAATTTTCATTATTCGAAATTTTTAGAAATGTATAATTACGTGTTTTAGCATTTAATTCTACTTACGGGTGATAGTGAAGGTTTAGGAGTCTGTGGACTAGTAGTTCCAACGGTTGGAAGAGCTTTAACGAGATTAGCGTATGTTTTAGGACCATTGCTCATAACATTTTGCATAGATAGCTGGTCAGGTTCTGTTTCAGGAACAGATGGTATATAGTTCTGCTCTGTTTCAGATGGTTCGTGACTCTCTTCAGATGCAACATGAGAATCAGTTTTAATAGTTTGTTGTTGATTTGTTCCTGAATGTTCACTTTCAGATTGGAATGATTCTTCATTCGATTTTTCAGTTGCATATTGTTGCTGTAGAGATTGAGGCTGTTGAAGGGGTTGTTGAGCAATTATTGATGAGTCTTCATGGACCGAACCATTGATTGTAACTTGCATGGTTGAAGGATGAACCTGAAATCATGAGATTAGCATAAAAATCAGTGTGTTTAATTATTTTTTGAAAAATTATTGTAATAATACTAACTGCTTGTGGTGGTATCGCATAATACATAGGCTGTTGCTGAGCCAACTGTGGGGGCTGCTGTTGTAACTGATTTTGACCTATTTGATCATTACTAATTTTTGTTGTTATTTGAGAAATTTGATTTTGTTGGTCATCTTTTTCAGCCTCTTGTCGGGTGTTTTCAGCATCTTCTTCCCTTTCAACAGTTTCATTAACATTGGCATCATTTTCTACCTCCTCCTCTTCTTCTTCATCACCATATCCAAAATCTTGGTACCGGAAAATATCATTGTGAACATAATATTTGGTAGGACCTTGGGCAGCTAGCACGAATGTTTGAGTGAAGCGGCGCATGGGATGACCAGCATTAGATAATTCTCCAGAAACCTAAACGTGATATATTAATTATTAACCAAATTTGCAACATCACTCATGAAACATATTTTTTTTTAGATAAAAATATGTACCTGAACGACAACTCCATTGCCAAGGGTTGATTGAGAATCAACTTGATTGATTTTGGCGTGACAATCTTGGAAATTCAGAGCTTGAATTTTCTGGTGTATTTGTTTTTGACCAATAGCAGGTAATGATTCTCTGTTGCTTTCTAGTCCTCCGTGAACAAAAGAAGAATGGTTGTTGTAGAACCGATGGAGATGGGTAGGAGCCCTGTTCAGTAGTGTATAATACTGTCGGACAAATTCACGACCGACGCACTGAGGTGAAGGTGATGCCTCCATGACCATTTCCTAATTATCTGTTTGTAGATTAAAAAAGAAAACTTGTCTTTGGGTAGATGAACTTTAGTTGGCCTGTAGATGAAAAAAATAATTAAAATTAGTAAAAAAAATTGTAAATTTAGTTAAAACCATAGTTTAAACAATAAACTATGAAATATTTATTTGAACTTGAAAAAATATTAGTATAATTTGTAACAGCTATAAACTTTTAGGAGCCTAATGAACCATTATAGGCGTTTATAACAAAAGTGACTTGAAAGTGAGCCGACGAGTTTAGGATATGGCGTCATTTGCGCATGCAACGCAATGTACGAAAATTCAGTCGTAATGCAAAACGACAATGGACTAGTTTTATTCAATCGAAGCGCGAGTAAAAAATCAATAAACAATAAGAAGCAACCTGGGGAAAAGCGAGACCAAATTGGTTGGTTAAAAAAACGTTCAACTTGGCTCGTACGCTTACGCACACATGCACATGCTTTCGGTGTGTGGATCATCAGTGTAGAAGAAAAAGTGAAATGGAAAAGAGACGACATGGTGCGTGGCCAAGCTGAGAAATAAATTACTCGGTTTCTGAATTCTCGATGAAGCAGGGACGCGTGCCGGAATAACCCGGGACAATTATTATGATTTTTTATGATAAAACACAAAAGTGCCGGCAGTTACAGCTACTGAGGAGCTGGTAACTTACCTGCGAGATAGCTGGAAAATAATCACTACTGAATCTGCTTTCAAGCAAGTCTTTGAATTGTGGGGACAACAATGAGATGACTCAATGCAATTCACCCTCTCAAAAGCGAAAATGAAGCGCGCAATTAATATTTTTTCAAGTTAAAAAGGGTATCTGGGTGTATACTAATGGATATACTGACACTGCTTTCTTACGCCGCTAAAGCCTAAGACTGTTAGTAGACGAATCAGGGGTATAAGCCTCGAGGTTCTAGATACGAACGCCCACTCGTCGAAATGAATCGTTGGACGGCCACAATTTCTGTTTTTTTTTCACACTCATAGGTGGCGCTATGAATTTCTATAAGGTGCCTCTGCAGTGGCTCGTTCGCACACGAGTGACAAGGTCGATGAACTTTTATTTTCAATTGTACTGTTTATTTTGAGTCATGGATGCTGCATTAATATAATCTTTTTATTATTCATAACTTTTATTTATCTTACAGAAAGGTCAGAAACTATGGAGTACAAAAATGACTTCCCAAATTATATAATATTATGATTTATGACTGTCAATGGTCAAAATTCTGGACAGAAGCTTACGCGACAGGCAGAAAAATTCAATTTTTCCGAATTATAATTTCTCCAATATAATTTCCAACTCGAGCATAAATAAAAAGGTGGGTTGGTCTATTTTCGATGAAATATTTGACCACATCCGTGTTACGGTTGTATACCCTTTAGTTATGTTAACCGTATATAAACGCGAAACATTTTTACAAGTGCCTGACGTGTAACTTTAAAAATGTCTGTTCTTTGGCATAATGCGTGGCAGCCACGTTATGAGCTGTTTATAGAGATGCACGATTTAAATTAGCCTAAAATTATGGAATTTTACACGGATCTGTGATTCTGCCATGTGTCGCTTTTAAGTATATCTATACTTCAAGTCTTTGAATTTATGAAGTTCACGCGCGCGATTCTACTGTTCACTGTCTGTTACAGTAACGAATTTCGATTTTACCATAAATTTATAAACTTTTTATTTAAAATAAAATACATTCAAGTTTTTGCTGTAAACAATTAGTTCAGAATCGTGAATCAGGTAAATCGCATAAGAAAAAGTCTACTCAAACTATTTCAAATTTTTTTCTTCTTTTTTCATAAAATCTATAGTAAAAATCAATACGAGTGGGGCTTTTTTAATGACGTTAGAATTGGATTAATCAACTAAGATACATTTAAATCGCTATGGTACTTGTTCTCTACAATAAGTAAGATAAAACTTGCAATTAATTTACCCCTTGAAAATGTAATGTTAAAGCTTCATAATTTCAATTAATTACGCGCAAAAGTTAATACATAAAAACTTGTAATAAAAGGCATGATAATCTAAATATTATCAAGAACGACTATAAATCTACCATCCTTCTGCAGTGAAATTTGAAGTGCTCCAACTGTGGCTACTTGATCAACTATTTCAATTATTTTAATCATTGCATATAACGTTAGTGCGAAAAATTAGATATCAGTTTAGATTGGATTATAATTTTATTTCATGATCAGGTTGATAAAGAAAATACAGTTCAATTGGAGAACCGCTTACAATGCTTTTAATTAATATTTCATGACAGATATTACAAATTAGTTTCAACAGAGTAAAATAAAACTCTATCGTTACTTATGGACAAATATTTAAAGCATAATTATATGCTTTCAGAATAATAAAGCTGTAATTGCAGCAAAATTTTTAATACCCCTATAATTTTTGCGTTCGAACGAAGAATTAGGCAATAATTTCGTCTGAAATCATTTCCTTTTACATTAAAAGAATATATGTACATTTATATCTAGTTATAACTTAGCGCAAATATTTCAAGTGATTAATTTATAAAAAACATTCTATTTTATAGTAGTAATGAAGTAATTTTCGTTCTATATTATTGAGAGAAAAACAATTATTCAATTATCATGACAAAACAAAGTTTGAAATCAATCACTATGTACACTGATTACTATTTTAATTCATCAATAGTAAATAAAATGTGAGTTGTTTGAATAAGGTGAATTTTTATCAGAGATTTCTATTTTAATTGTGACAACTAAATCATCGTGAGCAGCCTTAATTGAAAACATAAGGTAGAATATTTTCCAAAATTGGAAACATTCAAATTAGACTTGAAAAACTTTATGAATTTATAAATTATAAAAAAAAAAGAAAAATTTTAATTTTAACCACTATATCGGGAAATTTTAATTGGATATTACAACTAATGTTACATCATCAACCAATTTATCATATTAAGAATTCAGATTAGAATGTGTATAAATCGAAGACAGAATGATTATTATTTGAGGCAGAAATAAAGAAGTAAATATCTTATGCCACTTATATGTCTATACAAGTATTGCTCTGTTCATCTTTAGGATGAAATTGAGCTGTAACAGCTTTTTTGGCAAAGCTTGGACACAATGTCAAAATACTTCTAATGATGATGATAATGATTTATTAACTAAGATGCTCGATGATTCACTTTGTTCATTGACTGTTGATGCATACGCGGTTGCGCATTAGAGTCTTGATAATGATGACGAGTCTTTGCTGTGGAATGATGATTTGACGAGTTACGATTATTAAATGATGAATGACCTGCAATAAATTTAAAAATACATTATTAGAAAATAAAATCAGTTTGAAATTAAAATTTTTAGGAGAAGATGTGAAGGATAATAGAAATTAGATAAGGTGTGTTCAAAAATCAAAATTTATAAATTTACACCAAACCAGAGTCAAAATTTTCAATTCAAAACAAAAGAGCAGTTCAATTATTGATCGAAGGTCAGAAAAAAGAGAGAAACTCACCAATAGTTAAGATGCTAGTGGCATCATGGTCGAAATGAAAATTGTGGTATTAATAGGGCTGATGCCTCTGATTTTGGCGACCACCACCTCTCTGTTTTCCGCCAAAGCCTGAGCCTCCTGAAACACAATTAGTGAAATGTTTTAAACTATGCTTCACTACAGCTTTAATGTTAGATACAATCAAGTGTCTACTTTTCTATGAAGCCAATGCACTAAATATTACTTGCTAAAAGTCATTTTATCAATGAAAAAACCAAGAGATTAAATTGAAACATAGGTGTTAAAATAAATGTATAAATTGATAAGCAACTTGATAGCTTTGACCTTTGCGAAATTCAACAATGTCTCAAGCTATGCACTTCAAAAATGAATTTTGTCTCTACTGAAAACATTTAAAAATTCTATTGAGAGGCTACAGGCTAAGGTTGTAGAGCTATACATATTAAACTTATAATTTAGCTCAATTGATTATAACAGTAGGCAAGATTCTCTCTTCTTTACCCCTTTCAACAAAAAGATTTTGTTGTATTTAAATACAACCTCTAGTTATTGGATAAACTTACAATTTTGATTATGCTCTGCAAACTCTTGCTTGTTTCTTATCTATAGAATTTTCACTAAATAATATATACTGGTAGAATTTAAACTCAAATAATTAAGTTTTAAAGTGGAAAAGTTTCGCACATGCAACTTATTTACCAATGTGTCATAAATATATGAATTTTTCATGGTAATTACACTTCCGCAAATGTACAATTAACATGTAATTGAAGAAATTTCGAGGAAGTGTATATTTCAGAAAATATTCATCTTCTTATATTTATGTTGACATGTGCGCTTGGAGCAAGAAATTAAGTCATATAAAATGTAAAATAATTATCGAGTTTGCTCTTTAATTATTAAGAAAATTCAGAAGATGCAAGAAATTCATGTCAACGAAAACAGAGAGCGACATATAAATAAAAATAGTAGTAGGATTTAGGATATGTATAATTAAGAGATTAAAAGGGACGCTAATGCGTACCTTTTCCGCGTGCACCACCGCGCCCGCCATTGTAGCCACCATCGTAACTACCGCCATAGCCATAGCCATCTGCATTTTCATGGAACAAATGGTGCAAAAAAGTCAACTTAGTGAATTCTATGAATTTACTTGATTACTATGCACTTCTTATAAACAAATAATAAAAAAATTTAATAATCAAATGTAAGATCTCTTCACGCACATGATCATTTTTTTTGCAAATTAGTCATTTTTTTAATTGAAATTAATAGTTTCTTAAATATATAAGAATATTTAATAAAATTATATACATTTTCAAGTACCTATTCAAAGTTTGCAAATTCTTAATTTTCGAGATATAATGATAAAAGTTTATATAAAAAATGATTAATGTTTCACGTTAGAATAAATTTCCATAGTTATTAAATAGATAAAAAAAGTAAAATTTACCATATCCTGCATAGTCATAGCCACCATAACCACCATAGCCACCGCCATAGTAGTCATAGTTACCACCATATCCATCATAGCCACCTCCATAGCCGCCTCCGTAACCACTGCCATAGCCGGCACCATAACCACCTTGTCCCCATCCTCCTTGACCACCAAAACCTCGACCACGGCTTCCTCTAGCTCCGCGTCCTCCTCTACCCATGCCTCTCATGCCTCCCATATCAGGTCGAGGGGTGGCTTTTTTAACTTCAACATCTTTGCCATTGATGGATTGTTTAGAATTTTTCAGAAGCTCATTAGCTACAGCTTCCGACTCAAAGGTAATGAAACAGAAGTTTTTCCTTTGGTTTTTGGTTTTATCAAATGGCATTTCCATTTCGATGATCTGTAAATATTTGTAAATGTAATAAAAATTGTAAGTATTTGTTTGGCTATTTTTTTTTTTTTTTTTATTTTTAAAGTAAAAATTACTTACAGTTCCAAAGTTGCCAAAAAATGATTTAATGTCTTCATCAGACAATTCCGTGGAAAGTCCACCGACAAAAATTTTACCATGGCGTGCTTTTGCTTTCTTTGGATCAACTTTTTTACCATTTATAATGTGATCTCCATGAGCCATAGCCTGAAATTTTTTTATTTTCATTAATGAAACTTGAAGAAATAAAATACGATTTCATAATAAACTTAAAATATATGTAAACTCAGAGAAAAATTTTCTTCAATTGTACTCAGTAGCAGAACTGACTTAAAAATATCATCATACAATTCATAAATTTTTTTTGGCATTGATACAAAACTATTTTCAAAAATTTTACCTTATCTAAAGATTCAGCTTTGGCAAAAACAATGAAGGCAAATCCTCTTGAACGACCAGTAGTGGGATCTGTTTTGACGTTGATGCTCTCGATATCACCAAATGTACTAAAGTGATCTCTCAACTCCTCTGAAAAGCAGAAAAATAAGAATTATTTTTATGGTAATAACTAAGTGCATTCTGAAATTAAATCAATTCATTTTTTTTAAATAAAAAACTCAGAATTAAATTTTAATCTCATAAAAACAATGCCATTTTGTTTTCTGAAGGTGTCCTAAGATAATATTCATCATAGTTTAGGCATTCAAGTTTTTCAAGTAATTTAAAAAAAGAAAAAAAAAGAAAATAAAAAGAAATAGTATACTCACTGTCTGTTGTTTCCCAGCTTAGTCCACCCACAAATAGTTTCCTAGAAATTGCAAAAATAAAAATTGTAATATAATTTTTTATATGAATATTTTTGTTTTTTCTTTTAAATTTTTTATAATATAATTTAGTGAAAAAATTGAAACTATTGATAAAATTGCTAAAATGATCCTGGATTATTGCATAATTTAAATCATCATTGAATAATATTTAAAAGTCACTGTAAAGCAAATAATGGAATTTTATGTCTACTGTAACAGACCATTTTTATCAAAAAAAAAAGAAGTTTTTTTTAATTTACAATTCAGGTAATCATAATCAATTAACATATTAACTTTATTATATTACATTGTAATGAAATTCTACAATATTAATAGGAAATCGTTGTCAGCTAATCCATATCAATTCTGCTAGATTCACCTTTAAGAATATTTAATTTATACTAATTTCATGAAGAAAAGCCAAGAAAGAATGGAAGGAAGTACCTATCATTCAGCAAATCCTGGTTGTCCATAGAAGACCTGTAAATGTGATTGTCATAAATGCCCATGACGAATACCAGATAATTAGATCTGAATTTACCCTAAATCCCTTTGAGATTATACGATTAAGTCTTATTTATCTAACTTTAACATTAAAAACTTTAAGTTATAAAACTTGGATTCCTGAAATATTAGAAAATTATAAAAAAGCCCTGTCAAAAACTCTTTGAGAATTGGAAATTATATGCATAAGTTTATCATTATATCAAATTCATATTAATAGTTTTACAATTACAATATTTACACTGGAAATACCGCATTCAGAAAAAGATTTTATAGCCATTTCAATTTCGTGATAAGACAACTTACACAGTATCAGAAGATAAAAATTGAAATTTATATTCTAGAATCAAGTAATTTAACACACAATAGTTTTTTTGTATATCAACAAGTACTGAATCTTTAACCATTACTGCTTCATCTAGTTTAGGCTTAGAATCTGATCCAATCTAAATTCAAGGTAATTAACTACTTTCGCGATAATAAAAATGTTCTATGACATGGTATTCATTCAAGCAAAATTTTGAGATCTGAACTCCATTGCTGATAAATACCGTGGAGGCAAGTGCTTCCATGAGCTGTCATCGTAGCTTTGCTGTTGTTCTCAGGTGCTGATACCACATAAGCATCCATCTGCAAGCACCATTTTCATCAAGCAGGTCCATTTGTTCACACGTTTGCTTGCCACCTGCAGACCAAGCCACATAAATTGGGTTAGTGGCATTCCGAGCTCCTAACCATTATCAATTTTTCATTTTGTTCATTTCAATGATTTTTTAACCTTCATTTTAATACCTCAGTTTAGATACGTTAACATTGATACTGTGCTCCGGCTCATGATGCAAATGGCACTATATAAAACTTTTAAAACTCAATCTCGATAGGCATTATTGAATGACTGCTCTTATGTACAAAGATGTCTGGAACATTTTTACTTCGACACTAGTTTTAAAATACTTAAAACTATTTGGATACGTAAACAAGTTACTCCAACTTTGAGTAAATCAACACTTGAACACATTGAAATTTTTTCATAAAATGTTTTTGTTTGAAAAGCATGTACTGTTAATTTTGAATGCGTTGAAAACCTTTGGAGCACACAATTAAGGTAGGACACTCACGTACTTATTTATTTATATATTTTCAAACTCAATGATCAATTATCATTGAAATGATAATCATTTTTAACAGAATCAATATACATAGAATGAGCACATTCAAGTGATGCTATTTAAATCGCAAATTATGGGCTGATTGAAGAAATCTTTAGTGTCTTAGTATTAAAAAAACTTGATTTCACCGTGCACCAATACTAAGCTTGTTTTGAAAATTTTTCTGAAAATCCTTCTTCAAATTGTTGTTAAGTCAATAAATTGTCAAGTAGTTTAAACCCTGGAATTACTTTGTAAAAATAAGTACTGAGTATATATTTTCTAAAAATCTTCTTCAATTGTAAGCTACAACCATACATGTATTTTAGGAATGGTATGGGAGCAATGCAATATTAAATATCACATAAAAAATTCATCCAATCAATTAGGTGCTCTTTTATTATCAATATAGCAAGAATTCGCGTTGATTATAAGCAGTCCAAAAGTACTATATCTGAAAATCATCTAAGTTTTTCTTCAAATTCAAAGCTATGATTCATTTAAAAAATCATTTTGTATCGATGAATTATACTTAATTTGTCATCTTCTATTACAGAAAAAATTATTTAAAAATATTTCCTTAGTAATACAAGTCAATATTTTTGACTATTGAAAATACATTTACCAATCAAGAAGGAATTAATATTAGTATCTTTACATTTGTTTTATAGCAATTACAATGTAAAAAATTGTTGATTTTACATTAATTAATTTCATCAATGATGCCTGTTTAAGAGGCATACTCATTATAACTTTAAACTTTGACATCATCCAACAAAATTGTGTAACATGAATATGTAAGTGTCTATTATCAGTTGATTATGGCAATAGCATTTGATACACAAATCAAAGTTGTCAAAAGAAAAATATATTTTGTACCTTGTGAAAATATTTGAACTGTGTGTTTTAAGGAAAACAGTAAAACAGAAACTTAGTTTAAATATAATAATCAAATCTACTTGTCAACAAAAATTAACGCAAATACTTGCAATAACCTGAGACTTACCATGAGTAATATGTTTATTACAAAATTGAAAATAATATACTTTAACATTTTATGCAATGAAATTTAACTTTAAGGAAATGAACTATTTTTGAACAAAATTAAGACATTTTTATGTGACAAATCATAAAAATTTCAAGAAAAGAGTATAGCTGTTAATGAAAAGGCTATTGTTTGTGTTAAATGCATAGAACTGAAAGAATAGAATTTAGTTTGTGTTTTAAAATGAAAATTATCATGATGAAATGATTTTTATTATTGGATCGGAGGCATAAAAGAGCTGAAAGCTTGTGAATGCCAAAAATTAAAATAAAGTGTCGAGGAAATAGTAGCGACACGTGCAAGGGTGTGTAAGCCCGCCATTTTCGTTTTTCAACGCGTTTTTTTTTTTTGTTAGTCAAAATGAATAATTGCTACTTTCGACGCGATCATAAACGATAACCATAAGTAATCGAAAAAGAAAAAACAAAATTTGATAAGATTGCTGCATAGATCAACAGCAGATGAAAATGAATGGATCATAACGGATAATAAGTGGACAAGTAGTTTGCCGGACATGGTCGTTTACAAGCGCACACGACAGCCATTTTGAGCGATAGTGCTAGCAGCAACGATGACGATGCCGAATCCAGCTCACTATGCTCCACGTTTAACCCAGTATACGTGTTGCCGCTAAAAAGACGCAGTCTCCGATTGCTCAAAGTTGGATAATAAGTAGCATTTATTGATTTTGCAGTTTTGTAAAAAGTAAGTAAGCCGGCTTACGTGGACAAATCGATGCCCGTCTCAATGGGAGCATCGACGAAGCCGCGAGAAATGCACGTAAAACGAAAGTTTTGCGAGCAAGAGTAAGATAGAAGGTCGGGCTCGTAGGAATAAAAAAAATGAAAAATAAAAAAGTACAAGGGTAATAAATCGTAATGGAAAAAGTTACCTGTCTTCTTGATTTTCCTGTCCGTTCTCGGTGGCGTCACCTCCGCCGCCGGCAGCGTTGGCGTTGGCACCACCGTTTTCAGCTTCGCCATTCTGCTCGAAATTCTGCTCGGCAACGTCTTCGCTGAAGTCCTTGTTCTCCTGCTCGGCCATATTGCTGCTAATTGTGTTTCGTTATCAAGTGATAGCGGGTGCAAAACTAACGAGGTTGACACCAAGGGTCGGTGGCGACGTGTAACAACTTTTTCTCTGTCTCTTGGAAACGAATGAGGCGTTGTAAGGGTCGCGCGTAGGCTCTTACGTCTACACAGCTCGAGCGTCGAGTCGAGAAGGCGGAAACGTGCGGCAACTGGCGCTGGCTTTGCAGATCAATCAGAGACACCGCTTGGTATATACGCTGCTTTCTCACTATAGGCGCTGCTCCGTGTATCGTACCGTATGTGCGCGGTAGAAGACGGCCAAAGGACGCGCAGTGCGCAGGGCGCCACGAGCGTCGGCGGCTCGCGGCGTCTCTGCGAACTAAAATCTACCTAGACGTATGTGCAGTTCACGCTACGTACCGTACGTACGCACCGCGAATCGGAGAGTCGGGGAGGGGGCGGGAGAGCGGCACACGGCGACGGCGCAGCAACGATCCTGTCTACTGCCCTGGCATGACGGAGCTAGAATACGTTATGTATTCACGCTGTGATATGGCAATATGCAGATCGTGAGACGTGCACAGTGATGCCACACTGAATGGCCAGTGCAGCAAACTGCAGAGGAGAAAGTTCAAGCCGAGTCACGAGTCCGTGGCGCAGCTCTCGGGACTCGGCTTCGTATTCGGCTGTAATACACGAAGCAGCCCGTAACGTACCTAGTGTAAAAGCCGCTACTCGTATATACTCGGCCGGATTCTGCATGCAGCCTACTCCATTCTTGCTCAACTCGCACATGTTCTATGTACATCTACATACTAGCCTATGCACGAGTAAAGCCATGTATTGACCCCTCGATGTATAAGCTCTCTGACTTGGATATTCGTTCTATCGGTTTGCAGGTGCTTATGAGCTTTTCCTTGGCTAATCAACACGCCCTTAGCTTATCGTTTGCCACTTCTCACCGATGAAATTCGGAAAAAAAATCATAGCGTTGCTTTCGTATATTTTTTTCTCTTGTGCCCTTGTCTTGCAGCGTCGAACGCTGCATAACAATAACGACTTTTAGGAAAGAGTAATTTTGCACTGCGACCCATGTGTAATATATGCGATGAATTAAATTTCGTCTTATTCGTCCTAGAAAATATAATATTTCTATTTTTCAAATGATTTTTGAATAGTTACAGCATTCTTTATAATAATTTAATTATATTTAAATTGAGCGAGTACTAAATATATACCAATTCGAGTGTATGGATTGATGTATTCAATGGTATTAAATGATCGTAAATATACTGGTTTTATACTTTCATAAATCGGCTTCATATTTTAATTTTAAGATTTAATCAAATTTTCAAAAGTATGATTATTTCGATTTTTTTCGATTCAAATACAACATGTTTCGTGCCAAGTAAAATCATTCCTCAATTTTCTCAAATTTTACTGGGAAAATGTTTGGCTCTTTGACGAACTGCTCTACATTACATTCCCTTACTACGTCAAAATTTAAAAAAATTATGAAGGAATTTTAAATTCAATTTCAATATTTTTGATTCAAAGGAATTTTTATGCATCTAATAAAAGTAAGCTGATTGATTAAAAAAATTAATTTTTTCATTCGTGAAAACTGATATGTCAGTATATGACATTTCCTCTGACTCAAATTTTAGTAACTTACGAATAAGTTCAAAGGCTTATACATCTCGAATGATAAAATAATTAAATATTAGACGGTGGGCGAATGATGACAAATTACTCTTGTAGTCAATGTATTTTTTTTATATTATATGATACATTTTTGACTTTTCCGATAGACGAAAATCAAACTGTGTGATAAGAATATTTTCAAGGTTTTGCGAACAACGACAATGATATTCACGAATAAGCTTTTAAAGTTAATGACAATTATGGATGCAAGTACTATGGAAATTTCTGAATCAAAATGAAATCAGATACAGCCAAGATTAAGCCAAAGGGTCATTAAATGATCACATTTTGAATTTTAATGAAATTGTTCCCCAAGTTAATAATTAAAAGAGATAAAGTGTTTATAAAATAATTTAGGTTTCATCAGGTGTCGTGTAAGGTGGGCAATTGAAAAATTGCCATTATTCATCTCATCTGCGTCACGCGCACGATGACGCTCATGAGTTATATTATTGAATTCGGGCAAAGTGCCCTTGCCCCTGTATCGATCAACTTGTTACACTAACAATGAGAAATCAATGCCTCCAGAAATGTATATAAAAAAAATTATACGCGCGAGTTTTTAGAAATATAAGAAGTAATTGTTTCAGGTAAGAAGATTGAATGTCATAGGATAAATTTTGGGTTAATTCCCAAAATTAAATAAAAGTTAAAAGTCCCATTTGTTCATTGATCTATGTGACATTTTAAAACTAAGGGCCAATCTTAATTGTGTATTAGTTCAAGTTGGAAGAAATTCATTGTTTAGTGCTAATCGATATAACACGTTGTTGAGAAAATTGCCAAAATATGTTAAGATGTTACGAAAAGAAGAGTCCCCAAGATCCACGAAATAAGCGGCCAGGGCCGATGGTAAACGCAACAAACGCGGGAAATTGTGTAAATGATTTTTTGTGGATACATCGGCAAAAAGTAAAAATTTGATTTTGTCCATGATATCCAAAAAATCGTCATCCAATGAGCGGGTTTTCATTCAATCCGATAGCGGAATAAGTTTAGTCGTGTAAAAATATCCTCGAATTTAAAGAATAAATTGTTCGAGCTTGTCACTGATGTAGAAAGAAGTAGTGGATTGATCGTGCTTTGAAAGCACAGACGTTTCGTGAATTTTCGTCCGAATGAAGGGTCGGAGCTTTCATGAAAGAAATAGCCAAGATAGCGAAGGAGCATATAGGAGTTGGCGTGCTCGCGAGTCGCGAATCGAAGCGCGCAAACTCATGAACTAGGCCACCGAAGCAGGGATCACCTGGCCGAAAGAAGGGGCAAGCGAGGGAATGGAAACGTAGAGAGAGAGAGAGAGAGAGAGAGACAAAGCCGCAAGCCTGGGGTGCAAGTGAAAGCGCTGAACAGAGCTACCTGCGTCAGACCGAGCTCGCGAATGCGCACTGTCAGGAGAGAAACGGCGGCTTGGGCTGCCTCCCTGCTCGCTCGCGTTTGCCTGCGTCTGCCTGCCTCTGCTTGCCTCTGCTTGCCTGCCTGCCTGGCACAATCAATATCGGCGATCCGCCACCCTCAGTCGGTTCGCGAGTCTCGTCGAAGCGCGACCGATTCCTGTGCGCCGCGTCCGCAAGCTGCTCTCTCGCGACGACCCGTCGCTGCACGACGATCAGCAACTAGTCAATCATGAGGTAACCCCGTGTCCCCGAATCCAAGCTGCCGCCGCCACCACAGCACACCACCAGCCTCGAGTTCTCGAGCCTCGTCTGCCAACGACTGTAAGTCCGCACTCGCAGCCAATTATACAACCTGCCCCACGGCTCGCGCGCTTTTCCTCGGTCGTGCTTCTCGCGCGCGACTGGCCTCGCCAACGAGCTCCTATTCACTCTACCCACTCGACGTCATTCGATTTTTCGCATCGCTACGCTACATATACTATACACACTTACTAAAAATAGTAAGGACGTCTACTGAACGCTACGGCTCTCACCTTTGCGCGACTCGATCTCTCCTCATCGATCTACCTCTGCACCTGACTCGCGTTTTATTTGCAAATTAACTATTTCTTCGGCCTGTTGATTTTTCCTGCAAAACCTTCAACATTAGGGACATCGACGCGCGCTCTTTGTCACGGCGTCGATATCTCTTCGCGCATCTTTCACCCTTTAAATTGATCAATTTTCCTTTTTATTCAAATACCCCCTGTGGCCTTTCGACCACATCTTCTTGCAACACTTATCGTGCATGAATTTACTTCGTTGTAACTCACTTGCAATAGATTTGGTATTTTTCATCGATTTACAAGTGATTCGCCTCTTAATTTTTCACGCGCCACAAAATTAGATTTCTCGCGTTCTATTAATAGCCTCTAAGGAATAAGTCATGAAAAATCGATAAAACTTTAGTCAATTTTATCGATGGCCATGTTTATAAAATGCAAGCTCGCTTAAATCTTGATTTCTACCACAAATCGCTTCTATTTCATTCAACATTTTCAACGATAGTAAATCGGGTTTAATCGAAATGATAGCTTTTTTGATTTGACAAAATTCATAACTGCATGCCTTGCTTATTGATCTTAAATTATTCTTAGTAAATTACCTGACTTGCTATCGAGAAGAAAATTTTTAAAAACCATCAGGTTTAATTGATGTTTAATTTGTGGGTGTTTTAGGCGGAATTGATCAAGCAAGATGTTCATTCACGTTAAAAAGTCTCAAAAGTGCGTAAACACAGCGGCAAATGCTATTAGAAAAGAGGGCCATTAAAGAGGAAACGCATACGAGTCGTTCGCTAGATTAGGCATTGACATAAAAGTGGAAAATAAAGCGGCAGTAACAAGTGAGAGTGTGAGGACCAAGGAACCATCGATGGCCAATAGCGCCCATGGGCGGCCTTGGTTTTAGGACGCGGAACAGCCCCTCCCAAAAAACCTCGCTCCGGTGGGGCGACTGTTGTCCGTCAAACCTTGGCTTTCCGATCAGCGGCATCGGCAGCAGCAGCAGCAGCAGCAGCAGCCGCACACAATTTCCAATTTTCTCCCGCTATTCGCTGCCGGCTCCGAGCAATTCAAGACACTACCAAAATATGGTTTTCTTTTCCGTTTGAGGTTGTCCGCCACTTCTGCGCGACTGCACACCCAGGGGTTTACAAAAGTAATTATTTCATTTATATCAAAAAGTCCAATATGTTTGCATTTTCCAAATTCTTGTGTTCTAATATAAAATTCAAATTATCTTAATTTGACAAGTAATTAGACTACTTTTATTTCGAAAATGTTTGCAATTATAATTTTTATTTATCTACTTTATGAAATACAAAGTTAAATTAGAATTATAAAAAGTGGAACAATAAAGAGTAATGACTTCGACAGGTTATCCAGCAAAGATAAATCAGAAGATTTGACGAAATTGACAGACTTTGGTCTGGGACAGTTTGATTATACACCGGTAGAAGTATCAGCACCAAAAATGATTAACGTCGCAGGAGTCGTCTCGATCGTATTGTTTTACATGCTTATCCTTGGAGTAGGAATATGGGCTGCTCGAAAAAAAGAAGCTGGAAACGACTCGGAGGAGGAGGTCATGCTGGCTGGCCGATCGATTGGCTTATTTGTTGGAATTTTCACAATGACGGCTACTTGGGTGGGTGGTGGTTACATCAATGGCACAGCTGAAGCTATATATACACGTGGCCTTATTTGGTGCCAAGCTCCCTTTGGTTACTCGCTGAGTCTTGTTTTCGGTAAATTTCAACTCGCACATTTTTTCCATTAAACTATTTTCTTTTTTATAATGCTGTTGAATTTTTAAAATAGGTGGAATATTCTTTGCGAACAAAATGCGTAAGCAAGGCTACATCACGATGCTGGATCCATTGCAAGACGTGTTTGGCGAGCGAATGGGGGGTCTATTATTTTTGCCAGCCCTCTGTGGAGAGGTATTTTGGGCCGCGGGAATACTCGCGGCTCTTGGAGCTACTCTTGCCGTCATTATTGACATGGGACAGAAAACTTCTGTCATACTCAGCGCCTGTATTGCTGTCTTCTACACACTTTTTGGGGGTCTCTATTCCGTTGCCTACACCGACGTCATACAGCTTTTCTGCATCTTCATCGGACTTGTGAGTTTTTCCTCTTATCTTTAGACTTCTTGTTGTGCTAGTTTTTAACATCGCGAATTAATGAAAAAGATTATTCGATTATTATTGCATAGATAATAGGTGCACATTTGCCTTCAAAATAGAAAAAATTAGGACCAATTCCAGTTATTTTGTTTTTTAAATGCATATTTATTTAAAATGAAAGTATATATAGGAACGCATTCCTCGGATTTTTTTTATCTTCAATTCTGATAATTTTCGAGTTTTTAGAAATATTATTTAAAATTTCTCGCAGTTTGTATATTTTTGTAGAAGAATTTTTTTAAATTGATATTTCGCGAGCTTTTTAAAGTAAGCTTTCAATTCCACAAAAATCTATTAATTTTAGTTTTTTACATCATATACCCATACAAGTAGAGTATGATTGCTCGCAAACGATTATCCGGAATTGTTTTGATCGCAGTTTAATCCTGCAATCTACTTGTCACAGATGCCGTCGCAGGAATTCACTTACTTTGAGTAAACATACTTTTTGAGCAATTTTCGTATACTCAACAATTTTTAATTGTAAAAGTAAAACAATTAAAGTTTGTAGTAATAACAAATTTATTGTAATCTATGAAATATAAAAATATAAAATTGAGAAGAAGTATATGATAAATTAATAAATGAATAAAATTGTTCCTTTATGAAGATAATATATTCGTAGAGGGTTTTATAATAACGATATCATTTAAAATCAAACTTAGCGTAACATTCGGTAATCCAAAAGTTTTTTTTATGAGTTTTTGTTTAGAACTTCATTCGTTATATGAAGTACAATAAGTGCAGATCAAATTGATACATTAATAAGTATTTTCATTAAATATGATTTTATTTTTATTTTTTAGTGGATGTGTATCCCTTTTGCTTGGACCAATCCAAAAGTACAATCTCTAAGCTCAATGGACGTTGACTGGATAGGCTCTGTAAATCCAGAAGAATATTGGTTTTACCTGGATTATGGTTTACTTTTAATTTTTGGAGGTATTCCGTGGCAAGTTTACTTTCAACGAGTTTTGTCTTCGAAATCTGCTGGGAGGGCTCAAGTTCTTAGTTACGTTGCCGCTTTCGGTTGCATTTTAATGGCCATCCCTCCTGTTCTTATCGGAGCTATTGCCAAAGCTACTCGTAAGTTAAATCTCGAATTGCCTATTTTTATTAATATTTTTAAATATGTAATCTAATAAAGTGTCAGGGAATAATACTATTGTCTACTGACGATAGTGACTGAACTGTAGTTACTGAAAGGTCAGGCATTTTGTGCATTCATGCACAAATAATAAAAGTTATTGGTTATCTTGATAAGTATGTATCAGTTTTCGCGTACTTGCGTTTATATTTATCTAATATTATATTAATTCAAAGTGGATAATATTGATTGATTGATTCATTGATTGATATCGTTGAATGCAGGAAAAAAAATTAAAATGAAATATTAATCAATTGAATCAATAAAAATTAAAGTTGAAAGGAGATTCGAGACCGTTGAACAAGTTTTTACTAAATCATGTAATATTTCATGTAATCAACTTAATGCTTTAAAAATGAATTATAGTTTGCTTTTTTTATATTAAATAATCAAAGCAACTTACAATCAAACTTAAATTGCCGTTTTCAACAAAATTCATCAATTAGGTAACCAATAAAATAAAGTTTTTAAAAATAACTCTTTATGGCCCATTGACGGGCAAGTAAGGATTAGGGTAGCATTACTGCAGTAAATAAACATCGTAATTTTACAGAAGCAGAATTTTCAAGATAAAATAAAATTTTTATCATATAATTTTGCACCATGTACACATAGTCATGTATTTAAAAGAAACTATGTAATTATTCTTTCCTCAGTTTGCCTTTTTTACCTACTCTATCGATTTTCGATTTCAATATTTCTCCGTGACCTTTATGAGAAAGTAGAATCAACTTATGAAGCTGATTTTTGCATTTAAAATACGCGGAAAAATTGTTCAAAATTAGTCGCCTTTAACTTTAATGGGTTGATTTGCACACGCGAATTCAGCTGTTCTAAATCAAAATTTTCCTTTTTTATTCGCATTTTTAGACATGCTGGATATAAATTAGTTGATAATAATTATTGTGCATGAAAATAAATATTTCCTTATTCACGAATGTCTTTGGAATCTCGTAATATTTCTTTATAGCACTGTGTCGAATTTCTATGCCCCAATGGTCTGAAATTTAAGTCATATTAATTGACGCCTCGGAGTGTGGTTAATGTTATAAATGTGAACCTAGACCATACATGCTATTTGAATCAGCGCTCATACCCCTTAAAAAGTTCATTTAGGACTATAGAAAAGCGTCTCTACAACTTCCAGTAGTTTTGGCTGAATCCTTCCTGCTTACGAAAATGCTATTTTCACAATTAAAAAGGTCCTTAAAAAATTTTTAAAATTTCCATAAAATGACTCTTTAAAAGAATCGTAGTTACGATTTTTATTTTTAGATCCAAACAACTTTTAAAATATACAAATTTAGGTTTTACATTAAGTAATTTCGGACAGCATAGATACAGTAAGGTACACGCTAATTCGCAAACTGTTCGGTTCTTTATTACGATCCCTCAAAGAGTTAGTTCAGAACTATGAAAGAAATCTGTTGCTACAACCCTCAACAGTAAAAAGTAAAACTAGCCAAAACTTATATTTAACATTTGTAAATCGAATGAGTATTGGCTATATTTATCTTCTCCGCGACGCTGGCTCACATTACTTCCAAATTGCTGGCTACATTTTCAAAAATCAATTAGATATTGAGGTGCTAAAATAAGTAATGCATTTTACGATTCGAATATTAATCGAGATAGATTTGAATGATCAGATTCATGATTTTGTAATCAAGTCGTCATATCAAAATTGAACATAAATTTTACCATATTGGTGAAGCTACATATAACAAGTTCAGCAAATAATAATGTTACGCCATACTCATATCCATTTGAATAAATTGCGAAATATTAATAATTTTTGAGCTCTTTTTCAGCGTGGAATGAAACAGGTTATCAAGGACCATATCCATTGACGTCAGCAGAGACAAGCATGATTTTACCAATGGTGTTACAGTACCTTACACCAGATTTCGTATCATTCTTTGGATTGGGTGCCGTCTCTGCTGCAGTTATGTCATCAGCAGATAGTAGCATTCTATCAGCTAGCTCTATGTTTGCGCGAAATGTTTACAAGCTCATATTTCGACAGAGGGTGAGTACTTATGTATATACCTCAAGTGGCAACACCATTGTAAGATTTTGGCCAATGCTAAAATTTAGAACAATTTTTTGGATTTTACGATAGATCTTTAAATTTGAGACTTTGAGGATTAATGATATATGCCTTGGAGTAATGAAATTTTTTTTTATTTTATCTTTCAAAATGACGAAGTTATGTTCCGGCACCTGAAAATACGAGTCTCCTCTTGTTATTTTTAGTCCAGTATTAGCTCGATGCTTGGCAATTTATTATCCAAAAATTTGAAAAATGTTTTTCCGGGATAAAAGCGTAAAAAAATTTTTTCAATCTAAATTTACACGAACAAAAGTAAAGCAAGGTCTTTGCACAAATTGAAATTTTCATCTGAAGATCAGGTGATTTTTTCAAATTGGAATCGAATGGGGTGCACTGGGCCCTCTTCCACCCCATATACCAATTTCCATAAGATGAAATCTCATGTACCCAGCCAATTGCATTCAAAATTAATTTTGACACTTTTAAAATATTTTTACTATTAACTACTTAAAGTTAGTGACAAAGATGAAAATTCCATATGTAAGTAGGATAAAATACTTGTTCGAATCAAGATAACCCCTCATTGTTACGACTGATTATTTGTTGAATCAACGTAAATACAATATTTAATCGTCTAGAATTATTTTCGGTTAAAAAATTTGAAATCACTAATGAAAAGTTCCAAAAAAGAAAAAATATTCTTTCTATTTTAAAATTCTGGTTCAATAAAATTTTTGTGTGAGCGGGTAAAGAATTTTCAAAAGTTTAGACATCTTGAAATCAAATTTATTACATGTTTTTGTAGGATTTCAATACCTCATTTTTTTAAATGTAAAAATAATCTAAGAAGTACTTTGCGAAAAGTTTAGTTTTCGTTTAGGTTATCTGGTAATTTATGTTCTTTAGAAAAGTGTTTACACAACAGTTACAAATTTCTTTAGCTTTACAGCTCGTCAATCACTTTTGTCACGCCCAATCGAAAAATGATCCAACTTAAAAGTTTCGTACTTCAGTGAAAAATAATCGGATGTAAGATGAAGATTTAAAAAATACATTCGAAAGGTCTTTACAAGTACTTTATGGTTGTAGCAGGGTTTGTTTATTCAATAATTGTTATTAATAATTTAAACATTTCAAGAGCTTTAATCAGCTTCAATTGTCCAATGTGCATTTTTCTCAAAAATACGGCCGTTTTACTAAAAAAATCCCTTTTTTCATTTTTTTTACTCGTATTTATATGAAATATTTTTTTCACTGAACTATAAGTAACTTTTGATTTCAATCATTTTACGCTGAGGTATGTCAATAGTTAACGACGGCCGGTGTACATGAGTTTGAATAGTATCAAACTACACTTGTACCATTTGTCGCGCATAATAGTTTTTTTTGCTCAATTTAAATGCTGAAAATTTCTTGATACATCTGATTTATCGGTACTTATGTTCACTCATTGATTGGGATACCAACTGAATAAATTTAAAATTATGGCACGAAAAGTTAGAATAAATTTATGTTCAGGCTTCGGAAATGGAAATCATTTGGGTAATGCGGATCGGAATTGGAGTAGTAGGCATCCTGAGTACTATTATGGCTCTGACTATACCATCAATCTACGGACTATGGTCGATGTGTTCCGACTTGGTCTATGTCATTCTGTTTCCACAACTGCTGATGGTTGTGCATTTCAAACATTACTGCAATACCTATGGGAGCCTGACTGCCTACATCATAGCTTTTGTGGTTCGCATTAGTGGTGGCGAACCCATCATGGGCCTCCCGGCCCTTATACACTATCCAGGTTACGACGAGGTGAACGACGTGCAGATGTTTCCTTTTCGCACGATGGCAATGCTTATCTCGCTCATTACACTAGTCGGTGTGTCATACGCGACGCAACATCTCTTTATCAGTGGAAAACTAGCTCCTAGCTATGACATTTTCCGCTGCGTCGTGAACATCCCAGATGACGTTGAACGCGTCGGCCCAGACCCGGCTGAGGTTTGTTGTTTTCCTAGTTTTGTCCTTTTGCTTCTACGCCGTGACTACATCTTTGTTCTTTTGTTTGTTGCTTTTTTTGTTTCGCTTTTTTTTTTTTTTTTGAAATATCACAGGGTGAACAGATGGCAGTGCTGGCCAGTGGTGTTGGCCGACTTTACGGTAGCAAAGACGAATCCAACGGACGAGTGAACCCCGCACTCGAGCCGGACTACGACACGGATTCAGGATACACGGCGGCGGCCGACCAGTTGCTCTCTAGCGGAACAACCGTTGATAATTCCATTGGCAGATCTGGTAACGCCGCGGTTGGCCCGAATGTGGCTCAAACTAATACCGCCTTTTAATCGTGGACTCCGTGATCGGATGCTGTGACCAACAATAAGCAAGGCGATGCGTCATTAACCCCTCATCCAGTATCAGGTTGAATCCTTTATAGTTTTTCATCTGTCGTAATGACTAATTTTTTTTAACATTCACTTTATATATTTTATCATGTTTCCTTTCTCTATTCGCATGAAAAAAACACCCAATCGAGAGAAAATGAACATGTTCAAATGAATTTTCTTCAATTTTTTTTTAATATTTGATTGAAAAGATGATTATTTTGATTATCGGGTTCGAAGAGAATTTTTTAATGAAAATCATTACACGTTTTCGAGTTTTCTTTGAAACATTTCCTAATTTGCATTGTCTTATATATGTTTATTATCTTGATACGAATAGTTCATTATTTCTTTACATTATTTTCCAATTATAATATTTTTCAATGATGCGTCGCCTTTTAGGCCTAGTAAGTTAATCAATTTCCTTTGCGACATGTACCTATAAAAAATTGATAAATAAATAAACAGATAAATCTATTTATTTATTTATTTATTTATCTTTTTTTGTTCATGACTAATGTAGCAATTCATAGTTTATTTGTTGCTTGAAGTTCAGTGTTAAGATCTACATGTTCTCCAATTGGCAGATCCGCCAATCACGCTATTTAAAATGGTTATTTTTTACAAAAATAATTAAATTTATAAAAGACAGATCTGGAAAAAATTTATTATACATAAACAAAAATATATATATAGATACACACACATACACATATTATATTATATGTATATAGTATGTATACATAAATATCGACTTGGAGAAACGAGTGTGGGATATCAAATAGTTTTTATGGACATTATACAAATCACAAAAAATATATCTATATATAAATTTATGAGATCTGTTACAGATCCCTATAGTGACAAATATATATAAACAAAGTATATCAGTTGATTTTTTGTGTAACGCTCAAATGGTATGAAATACGCTCATACTAGCGTACGCTGGTCGTTCCCAAGCTTGAAAGTTCCTTTGAAAAAAAATAAAAATAAAATAAATAAACATGATGATACATATATAATAAAAAATAACATTAATTCGAAAATCTTATTGTTATACATGTTAAATGCATAATTGATTTTAATCATAATACGTAAATTTTAAACAAATTCTTTAATTTTCCAATTAGTCTGCAAATTCCACATCAATTTTTTTTTAAATTTTGTTCAAATTTTGATTTACGATGGGTAGCTTTTAGCAGCAAATTATTTCAAAAGTATTGAAAAGTCAATTATTCTATTACATAATGCATGTTCATTGAAACATATTCGACGCCCCTACGAAAAGTAGGAAGATTCAAATGTCTTACGAAAGGTAGGAAGTTTCAAATTTATGACGAAAACTAGGACATTTCACGAGATGTCTAAAGAAAAGTAGGAAGTTATAGTTTTTTTTGACGTAAACTAGGAAATCGTTAGAATTTTTGACGAAAACTAGGGAATCTTACTTTTTTATGACGAAAAGTAGGAAGCTTTACTTTTTAACAAGATAAGTAATATTTATCACAAAAGTAATTAGCTCGCTGCTTGTTATTAAATTATCATTACTCGTTATTAATTCATATTCAAATACGTTTATGTACAAACTAATGTTTCTTTACTACAAATACTTTCGAAAATGAACTTCGATTATGGATGTATTGAGATAACTATATCGGTTAAAGTCCTTGTGACATATTTTACATTCGAAGAGTTTGCTCTGATTGTAATGATACAGTATCATTACTCTGGCAACTCACTGTTTTTTGATAAATCTCACATTTATTACGTATTAAATAATTTGTTAATGTATTATGAAATTCGAGGCTAAACTTGTATACAAATGACTTGTATAAAATGTTATATTTAAAGGGTTCGCTATGATCGTCTCTAGAAAAATTAGGATAGTTCAGGTGTTTATCGAATAAACGTAAGATGATTTATGATAAACAAATTTTTATTGAAATAAATGTTATAAAAAAAGTCACAGTGTGCTTGAAGAGCATATAGGTTTGCCAAAAATACCTCTGAATTCTGTTGTAAGTGTTCGAAAGAATGTAAGCCACTGAATATGGAACCGTTTGAACGAAAATCCTAGCTGCTACTATAGTGAAATGCTTTCTTAATCTGCATCAAACCATTATTGCCGTTATTTAATAATGGTGTTTTTTGGGGGGTTTGTTTAGTTGAAACATAGTAAACTCACTTAAATCCTTATTCATAGTTGTACAGCTTTAAAGTGCAGAAAACAACCTTTAATTTGGTTACTTCAAAAACATTCCAAGTCATATAGAACCGGAGATACAGATATATGAAGATTCACGAATAATTTAAGTATTAAATGTGTGAACCGTTGATGAACTAGATTTGATACGTGGATTTTTCATGAAACTTCATACAGCTGTATTTCCGGTTCTGTGTGACTTATAATATTTTTAAAGTGACCAAATTAAAGGTAATTTTCAGCACTTCAAAACTGTACAACTAAAAATATGGATTAAAGTGTGTTTAATATTTTTCAAATGAACAAAACTAAAAATAACAACTTATCCTTTTTTTCTCGATTTCTTGTCAAACGTTCATTTGCTATATCTTCGGTTCTGTTTGTAATAAAATTTTCTTAACATGACCAAATCAAAGGTTATTTCGTGTTCTTCAAAGCTAAAAAATTTATTATGGGGGCACAACAGTTTCAATGCGAGTAAAATAACACAAACCGTTAAAAAAATGACAAATATCTAATATTGTCATATTTTTTCGAGGTTTTTTAGCGTTAAAACATTTAATACTTAAATTATCCGTGAATCTTCATATATCTGTGTCTCCGGTTCTATATAACTTGGAATGTTTTTGAAGTAACCAAATTAAAGGTTGTTTTCTGCACTTTAAAGCTGTTCAACTATGAATAAGGATTTAAGTGAGTTTACTATGTTTCAACTAAACAAACCCCCCAAAAAACACCATTATTAAATAACGGCAATAATGGTTTGATGCAGATTAAGAAAGCATTTCACTATAGTAGCAGCTAGGATTTTCGTTCAAACGGTTCCATATTCAGTGGCTTACATTCTTTCGAACACTTACAACAGAATTCAGAGGTATTTTTGGCAAACCTATATGCTCTTCAAGCACACTGTGAAGTATGGTGTTCATTGAGAATTAACATTTCAGCACATTTCATTGATATCCACAATAATAAAAAAATTGAGGATCTTAATAAAATGTGTGAGAAAATGTTAATTCCTCGCGAACATCATAATTTTTGGCATTTTTTTAAAATCTTGAAACATCCTAATTTTCGTCCGGACATTTGAAACTTCCTAACTTACGTTCAGAAATCTGAAACTTCCTAGTTTTCGTCAAAAAATTGAAACGTCCTGATTTTGACAAAAAATATCAAAACTTCCTACTTTTCGTCAAAAATCAATATCTTCCTACCTTTCGTAAGACATTTGAATCTTCCTACTTTTCGTAAGGGGCGTCGATATGATGTATGTTGAAATAAACTTGAATATGAATATTTGACTGAAATCGGTACATCATTTAACGTGGAATTTATCATCTTGTGTCTTGCATTCATCATATATTAAACGTACTTAAACGTTTTATCGTACCTGCGAAATCTCGAATACTTTTAAATCATATAATATACTATATTTTGCGAGTATTAACTGTATTTTGAGAATTTTTTTCAGTTGATATAAATTAAGACTTTAATTAAAGCGTAAATAATATATTTTTCACTCCCTAGGTGCAAAATATACTATTTCTGACAGTAAAGTGATATTTACCACAAAATATTGTAACAAAAATTGAAATAAAAATCAAGAAAAGTTTAATTAATTTCATTTCAATATATCTGGGCGTGAAAAAATTATTTGCTTTTTGTCAGCTAGAAGTGCCCTCATCTTTGTTCAAGTATGTGCACGTCTTTAGCCTACCGTTCATGATTATCTCGTTAAATACAAAAAATGTCCCTGAAATTTAAAGTTTTTTACTGCTATTAATCAGAGATTTTTAATTTTAGGAAATACCTTTAATACATCGTGCGCTAATCCATATAGAACTACAAATTTGTCATGGCTTCTAAAAATTCAATGCGGTCGCGTCAAGAAATCCCTAGAACAATTTAAAGATTCATACATTCTCGGACAAAGTACGATTCCTGTTAAGATCACATGTTTATCTCGATGAAATTTTTCATATGGTAGTTAGATGGTAATAAAAACGAAAATAATTTAAGAAAGACATAAAAACGTAAGTGTAATGAAAGCTGTGCTTTTTTTGCTTCGGTTTCTGGTTTAGGAAATAATTTGTTCGCGAATAAATTTAAATGCTAAAAAAATATAATACTCATACATAAATCCTTCTTGATTAAATATTTCATGGCGAAAACTCGTTCACATTAAGATATTTCCAATGTAGCTGTTACAAAGCAGCACATATGAAAAGTGGCCAGAGCCGTAATAACTGTTATTTCATATTGACATTCGAAATGAATGTGAAATGTAGTAAAAGCATTTTTCAATGTTTCTATATGAAATAGGTAAATTCAATACCTGTTAAAAAGTATTTTTCTAAAAATTTGCGGAATGGCGGATCAGCTTTACTTTGACAGAGATAGTTAAGTTGTCTCATAGTTTATAAATATGTACGCTGGCTGTACTTAAAAAACTCACGATACACGTGTGTGAATATTATGTTTTATTTTGTCTATGAACAGATATATAAATTATACATCAAAGCAGCTGGTTAAATATCTATGGCGATATATAATTATTGCGTAAGCGTGAATGTTTCAACCCCGAAAATATAACGAATATTAGATTTATGCAACAATTCCAAAAAAGCTGTTATAATAATGTGTACAAATATATAAAATAAAATTTAGTTAGGTATTATTTTCTTATTTTATTTATCATTATCTTTTTTATGCAATAATTTGCAGGATATATTCTACTGATAATGCTTTTAAAATACGAGTAAGAAGGTAAGAGAAGACAGAATAATTTCACTAGTGCGGGCACAGATATTTACTGTATGTTCATAAAATAGTGTGAAAGTTTGTAATAAATGAAAGTATACCAACAAAACGTTAGTAAACCTATAAAAATATTAAAACATAATCATATGTAAAATTATGATTGAATGAATGAAGACAATGAAATGAAAGGAAATAATGCAATTTAATTGTTAGAACTAAAAGTAATATAGTTGTTGAAATGATTGCATAATATAGATTACGCTTTTTGAAAATTAATTTTAAATACTCGGTGATGTACATACTATTTATTTTAAAACTAAGAATTACATTGGAGAAACAATATTGAAATTAAATCCTTGAACGTGACAATTTTACGACTAGATGTGATACAAATGTAAATTTACTTGTCTGTTCAAAATATTACTAAAAGAGATCAGAAAATTCATTTGACAGAACAATGGTTCTTATAATTTTAAATATTTTAGAATTTTACGAAAAAAATGACTAGTACACCGAAGCTAATTAAAAGATTAATATTTTATTTTATTATTTTAATTTTTGTTAATTTATAAAAATAATAATTTTATCTTTTCCAATGCTCGATCAATACAGAATTTGTATTCATATTTATAGTTATTATTTTTTCTTGAGTTTAATCAAGAATATGGGATGTTGTTCAATTAGTCAGTTGAAAGCACATCGAGTAGCTATAAAAATTATTATATAGAACGCGAGATATCTGTGAAATCAATAGAAATCTGTTTTTGTGTGCGTATGTAAATGAGTGTATATGTATTATAAACTATAGGAGAATAAGGGTGGGTTGCTGCAGAATCGCACAGTGATAAGATCGTTCATGCTTATTTGTTAAAATAATTATATAAGTAGTTAAATAAATTATCTATACATATCAGTCAAAATTATTATTATGGTTCGTTGTTAGCATTGTTAACACCATTGCTACAAAGCGCAAAATTAGTCACGTTCAGTGGATATATTTTTGGAGATATTCGATAATCCATAAAATTTAACTGTGTGGGTTTGACAGGAAATTATAATTTTATAAGTTATAAAATCGATTATATTTTGTTCATCGGTCATGTTACTTCAATAATATGAACACATATCATAGGAAATACGAGTCGTTTGTATTACAGTATAAGGTTTGGTCAAATTAAAATATGAGAACGCGTGAACTTAATAATGGTAGTTGATATGAAGCTTATATAAGTACTCGAATTGAATTAACATAATTCAATTAATTTTGTTTATTTGGGTCATGGATCGTTAATTAAAAAAAAAAAAAAAAAAAATGAAATAAGTGTATCATATTGTCTACTATGATTTTTCAATTCGTTCATAAATCGAACCTAAATTTAATGAGATTTAAAACTTTAATGTTGTGATCATTAATCAATACGAATATTTTTACGTTCCGGAAATGTAAAAAATTTTTAATTTGATTTTCATAAAATTCGAACAAACATTAATTAATTATTGTTTGATTCAATTTTAAGGTAAAATTTGTGCTATGCGCTAACGTTACTTTTTCAATATTTCGCATGGACTTAAAAATGATATTTTATCTGAGTTTTGGAAATTATAAGTTCATTGATTTACTTGATTCGGGAGATTGGAAAATGAAAGTTATATAATTACACGATAGATCTCAACAATACATATCGGTGAATTTTGAATAAAATGATGCATCTTAATCATGAGTTTGTAATTTGATTTTAAAAAAAATTTAATTGTAGCCGTTTGTTCATTTGATAAAATAGTGGTCGTAGTAATGCTTGGAGAAAAGGTTAATAATACATGAAAGATGTGTCATTATTGAATTATTGAAATGTATAAAAATTATTATATAAAAAGTATTATAATTATAAAAATGTATTGTATATATATACATATATAAACACCGTATTACTGCGAAAAATCGAAGTGTCGAAATATGTTGATTGTCAATGTTACAAATAAACAATATTATAAAAAATTATACAACATGACTTTTAAATCCACCTTCCTCCTAAAAATTTTAATTTTATTTCTTCAGAAAGAATTTGGGTTTAGTATTTTACATTAAATATATGAATTAAGTAAATTAATACCTACATAAAAAATGTGTGATCAATTATTGATGAGAATAAAATTAATTTTCGTGAGTAATAAAAATGGAACTCTTATTTATTTTTTGCTTGTCACAATTTGACAAGATTTTCTTACTTGGAATATAAAATATATAAAACACTCTTATTATTAAATATAATAATACACGATAAATACTTAAAAATACTTAATACTTTATAGAGATTATATAAAAATTAGGTATTACATAGAAAATCTTCTTTTGTAATTATGCAAAATTGATGCCATTATTATCAGTGAAAATTCAAAGTAATATAAATTTTGCACGATGATAACTGTTGAATAATCGATTGATTATGAACAATAAACAATAATTTTTGGCAAATGTTATTTTTGAATTTCATAATGAAACTCTTGGTATGAACATCTACTTTTTTTTCAAAAATTTGAATTTAATACTGGTAACCTCCATTGCTAGCATAACTTTGTCCTCCTCCGCTACTTGGAGCTCCGTAACTTGAAGATGGTCTATTCATGATATTTGAACAAACAAAATTATAAATACTCATCGAATTCAACTAAATTTTATGAAATATTTTTTATTTAAAAAGTACCTGTTTCCGCCGTTTGGTGCTCTATATCCTGACGAAAATCCGTTATTCGACCCAAAATTACTATTACCACCTCCAGATGGAGCACCATAACTGGAAGAGGGTCTACTTTGCGAAGGAGCATTATAGCTCGAAGAAGGACCGTTGCCTCCAAAGCCTCCACTGCCACCATTAAAATTAGATGGAGCTCCGTAACTAGACGAAGGAGCTCGATTATTGAAATTTCCTGATTGAGGTCTACCCTGCGAAGGTGCTCCATAGTTTGAAGATGGTCTGCTTGGAGCACCATATGAAGATGAGGGATTATTTCCTCTAAAGCCATTACTATTGCCATTGCCACCTTAATTAGCAAAGTAAAGTATTATTACGTCATTGTATTAGCTAAATATTAATGATATTATAAATACCGTTAGGAGCTCCGTAGCTATTAGATGGAATACTTGGTGCTCCGTAATTAGACGATGGACGAGAAAACGAGGAAGATCCTCCTCCAAAACCACCAAAGCCACCACCTTAATAAAATAATATAAGAACTAGGTAATACAAATTTTTTATAAATAAGCGATAGATTAGTCGTATGTGACTCTCAATTTAATACCGGAAGATGGAGCTCCATAACTTGAAGATGGTGCACGTCCACCGCCTGATGATGGTGCCCCATAAGAAGATGATGGAGCGCCTCCTCCGAAACCACTACCCGATGATGGTGCCCCGTATGAAGACGAAGGGGCACCTCCGCCAAAACCATTACCGGAAGATGGTGCTCCATAGGAGGATGACGGGGCCCCTCCTCCAAAACCTGAGGATGGTGCGCCATAAGAGGATGATGGGGCACCACCTCCGAAATTATTTCCTGAGGATGGTGCGCCATAAGAAGACGAGGGGGCACCTCCACCAAAACTATTACCCGAAGATGGTGTCCCATAAGAGGATGACGGGGCACCTCCTCCGAAATTATTGCCTGAAGATGGTGCACCATAAGAAGACGACGGGGCACCTCCACCAAAATTATTTCCTAATGATGGTGTCCCATAAGAAGATGACGGGGGACCTCCTCCAAAACTATTACCCGAAGATGGTGCACCGTACGACGAAGATGGAGGCCCACCTCTACCTCCACCGCCATTACTATATCCACCACCTCCGAAACTGTTTTGAAGATTTGGAGTACCGTAACTGGTAGATGGCGGTAGATAGTTTCCTGATATTGGCGCTGAAAATTATTTCAAGACATCATTAAACAAATTTTAACTTGGTTCATATTTGAAACGAGAATTTAAATTGATGTATTTTAAATTATTTAATAGTATTATTAATTGAAAGCAAAAGACTGCAGATATCCGATGCTGGAAGTCGACTATTGTATTATTTTTGTTATTGAGGAGGATCTTTCGAAAATGAAAAAAAGGCAAATCGTATTAAAAGTTATATGAAACTATTCTTAGAAACTGTAAACTTATTATAGTAATAAAAAAAGCAGAATTTAGAGATGAAATTCGGGAAATAATAAAATTAAATAGTTCACTTTTAAAGACTTCTCTTATAGGCAGTTAACGATTTTATGGTTAAAAATTTTTGACAAAAACGAAAAATCTCGATAGTATTCATATTACTTGAGGTAAAATATTTTATAACCATTCGATTGACATCAATTGATTATTTGTTTCGCGACCTTTCTGAAAAATTATATCACGCTTAAAATTCTAATTATTGATTTGTCAATGGCGAAGTAATATAAAATGCTACTGGCGCGAATGCATCTCATTCTGTGTTCTCTGTAAAAAAACTTGTACTAAAAGAGCTTCGTTTAGCTTATCATATAATATGAGCAAAATGTTAATTGCATTTATAATTTCATGAATTTATTTCATTTTTTACGCACTTACGTCAATAATAAGATAATACTTAATATGAAAAATTGTGATATTGAATTTTAGTTATTTCTTATATAAGTCAGATGAAATAATTCAGTGGTAATGGGTCATTACCATAATTCATAATTATTTTATATTTACGCAAAATAAGAGAAATATTCATAATAAAAATGGGTTCTTGCATTCGAACAGTAATATACGTTTAAAACTTGTGGATAATAAACATTAGTTTATCTAATTTTTATAATCATTGAAATTTAACGATTTTGTAATTTTAAAACATTGTATTAATCATAGACGACCTTTCGAGCAACGATCATTTTATAAATAAACTATTTCCCGCAACATGTATTTATTTCATACACCAGCCCTGATTTTGTAAGAAAAGAATTATGCAATCTGTTTAAAAATTTTCGAAAAAAATGAAAAATATTTTTCAACTACGTTTCTAATTAATTAAATTTGTCTTAAACTTGCAACAGAATATTTTCTACATAAGCCCGCAGAGTCTTTGTTAATTATGTGATTGTTGGGACTTTTAACACTTTCACTATTTAAATAGTATACGTAGCATGCAAACCCATCATCGTAAAAATGTAAATACGCGTTAGCTTGGATTAGAAAACATGATTTTTTCATGGTAAAAATTATTTAAAAAACTATGATTCAAATAACTTCTGTAAAATTAATAATAAACAAAGCCATGAATTTAAAAACATTGAACTTACCTTCGGCCCTTAAAGCTGGTGCAATGATTAAAAGCAATGAAGCTGTTATAAACCAACTTTTTTTTATTACCATGGTGCTTTTCAAAATTATGCCGACTATGTAAATGTATTTATTTTGAAATTTTGAAATGAGGCACGAACGTTGAATATTCAAATATTGAATCCTATAACCAGTAAGATCGATGTGATAAACAATTAATTGAATCGTATGGTTGCGACCCTTTTGCAAAATAGATTTCGATCTTCCTCACTGCTTAAACACCAACTTGTATCTAACGCGCTAAAAACTCCGTGAATCTGCCTTTTATAGCTGTTGCAGCTCTTTTGGAGAAAGTACATGAAACACCAGCGAGCGTAAGTGGGGAACGCAGGTAAGCGATCGCTGCACTATAGACACATGAGAAATCCGAGGAGATGCACAAGCCAGATCTACTGTTACTGTTTTACGTATACGTACCTAGATATAGAAATTTGTCTAGTATCGTTACTTACTTTTGCGCTCGTGGGCTTGGGTTTTAATATTTATCAATGTACTTCTAGTATGCCTCTATCTCATTAGAATTTTTTTATTTATAAATTAAAAATGTTTTACATTCTGCATAATATATAGATATTATGTAAGACATACGAGTAAATCTTATGCACATTTCTGTTAAATATCAAAAATTGTAATTACTTAAGACTTTAATATCATAATATCAAAAATAATTTTTTGAACTTATTTAATGGTAACAAGCATAAGTTAAAACTGGAGTTTTTTTAAACATTCGAATTAGTTTAATACATATAAATTGAACCAATGATTTCAAGTTTGAATATCAAGGATTACTATCAGGGTTGTAATAATTCTTAAAAAAACATTTATTTCCGAACTCGAAAAGAATTTCTGGAAAACTTTTTTTTGAATCGTGAATAAAATGGTCTCAATGATGAATACTTTTGAAGTGACAGTAACACTAGAAAAATTTACTTTTAATCATTGATGTTGTTTACAGTTAATATTTGCTTAAAGTCAATTAAAGAAACTAATTATGGAGTGTTTTGTTAGACGCGGAATAACATTTAAAAAATTGATGTAATTGAAATTACTTTTTGCATAAAATTACGTTTAACTTTGCATTTGCTATTATAAGTAATGATGCATCAAACAATAGAGATCCGAAGACGCAACGACATAATCTTGATTAACGTAGCATATATGAACTACAACAATAGAAGAATTAGTCGGTGAAAGGAATATATGACAAATGGATTGTTCATATATTTCCTTGAAATCGTTCAAGTATAATAGCTGCGATAATTTTGACCATGAGTCTTCCATTAGCTGCTACCGCTTGACAATTCTGAAAATTCGCATTTAGGAATTCTGAATACTATACTATGGTGAGTGATTTTATAGAGACACTTAATTTAGTTTAACGAAGAAAACGACACAGCAGTCTGCAAGTATTCTTAAGTTTTAGGATCTTTTATGCTTTAATTTTTAATAATATTTATTTTAATTAAATTTCAGGAAATAATGTACAATCGAAAATTAAATTGATAAAATTATGTATCATCCACTACAGATTATTTTTCTGTTAGGTAAAATTGACTCTAAGAATAGAAGTTAAGGAAAATGCACTTGAAAATATTCTAATAAGATGACAGCTTTGACTTGACTTGAATTAAGTAATACATCGAAACATGTGTAGTAGAAATAGAAATAATTGAGTATCTTTTTTTAGATTTTAACTGTATACTTTTGCAAAATACATAAGAACATCCACTTGGTAATAAAAATACACTCGGCAACAAAATTATCGCAACAAAAAATTTCATCGAAATTTTGTCCTCTTTAAATCCATATATACTATGATAAGATTCGAGTCAATGTCGAGTTACCAGTAGTATTTGAGCGCAACACTAAAAATTACTCAAAAAAATTGATTTTTTGAACGTGTCCATGGACTACAGTGATTTTTTTTATTGAAATCTAACATACACCATCGAAAAGTAATCTTTTCAACGAGTAATTAAAAAAAAATAGAGCTCTCTACGATTTTTTTAACGCCCTGTAGGTCGTGATGAAATTTTTTGTTGCGATAATTTTGTTGTCGAGTGTATATTATACTTAAACTTTTTTGTCCCCAAAATTTTTTAGTAAAAAGTCTTTCTAACATTGTGTTTGTAAATAAAATCCAAAATGATAAAAAAAAATCAAAGTAATTCTTTTTTTTTTTTTTTTTGAAGCAAGAAATAATCAGTCAATAATGATATTTAATTTCATATTTATAGTCATAGGCAGAAAATTCCTCACCTGTATCCATAGATAATACCATTTTCCCCACTCTAACCTAAAATACGCAACTTTGCCGCTAATTTTAGGCTCTCGTAGGAAAAAATATTATCTCAAACTGGTGCAGATATGGTTTTTTAACAAAACTCGTTACAGCACTCGCCTTCGGCTCGTGCTATAATCCCTCGTTTTGCTAAAAAACCATATGTGCACCCGTTGAGAAATATACTATTTCTTAATGGTTGACAATTGACAATATAAGCATATAAAGCTTTGATAAGAACCCTAAGAAGATATTTTGATGAAAAGTTTCGAGTTTTGAGTAAAATGAAATGCGAAATTTTACGAGCCGCTCTATATTTTTACGGTCAATGAGCTTACTCGAGGTTATAAGAGAATGTTCTTGCTGGTGACATTCACCACAGGCTTATGTATACATCATTACTCTGAATGAACATTAACGAAACTCATTCATTCATTAAAATGACTCTGGTTTCATGGACAAGTTGTTAAGCTTAAGCTCATAAACTTACACTATAAAGTAAAGTAGTCGTTTTTGAATGAAATAAATAATAGCAATATACAGTAGAAATGTTTCTTTGTATAAATTGGTATATTTTAAAAAAGTACGAATGAACGGTAATAAGTGCAGACATCATTTACACGTAAAAAAGCACTTGATTGGTATTTTTAATTTGTCTTTATTGCGGAGGAGCTTTTAAATTCTATCTGCACGTAACACGTGTATGATGCATAAGCATGTGTATGAAACTTGAGTGATCAATAGATGATAATATCGATCGATATCAGCTATTTGCCTGCTTGCTAGGATGAACAAGTGGCAAATAATAGAGCAAAGTGAGGCAGTTACGACTGTTATGTAGTTGAGTTAATTTCGAGGGTATTTGGTCACGTGGCTAAACGACCCCAGCACCATAGAGTAAGCGACGTTACCTAGAAGTGTTGGCAGGTAAAAAAGGTATCTGAAAAGCTGCGCTGGCGGACGCTGACGACACGCAGCCCAAGAGAGGAGAAAACATCGAGAGGATGATAAATAAGTTGTGAGGGCGTAGCTTTTGATTGTGGAGGGCGTGGCATGAGCCGATCAATAAACTACCTCGAAGCGACTGGTGGGAGAGAGCCGAGTGTATGCGATGTAGGATGCATGCACCCGCCGAGTGCGCGAGACTTGCTCGTCAGCAGTCGCAGAGGGAGAGAAAAGCTTTTCTTTTTTCCTGCACGTATATATGCTCGATGTATAGCATGTTCACCTGGTAAACGACGCGAGTTATTCTCGTGACTACCTAGATCGATCCAGCATTTATCTTTCACCCCGATTGCCTTTTTCTCGCTCTCTCATAATCGATTAAAACTAATTGATTCTTATTTCTTTAATCTTTTCTTTTTCTTCAATAAACATCTGTAATTTTCAATACCTGGTACCATATACTCAAGAATTGCAACTATGAATTTGTAATAGTAAATATAAAATTGAAAAAAACATGAAGTTTTAATCATTGATCCACTTAATGATCCAACATTTAGTAACTATCTAAAACTTTTTTTCATCAAAAGCATGAGGAATTTAGCTTATAATCTTTTATCGAACAAATATTAATCAAAAAATAATGTTCAATAGTCTTTTCTTAACAATATTTTTATCAATTAAACTAATTGAAAATCTGCAATTTGATCAATTGAGCCAAATGAGTAACAACATTCTGTAATCGATTTTTCAATTAAATTTTTCGGAAAACCCTCTTTTGATCGTGAAGAGAATAATATATTATATATATTGGAGGAAGAGAGTTTTGTCGACTTTAAAGATCAAAATTTTAAACAATACTTTCTATATTATATTATGATCAACTTGACAATTTTTTTTTGTTGACTACTTTTTCTCATATTTGATGGTATTAGCAAATAATTTAAAACTTGGTCTTATATTACATTCAAGACATCTATGTTTACCCCTAAGTATTTTCTAATTGGCAAGTCTACCTTTTCAGGATCTTATTATTGTATTATTTAAAAGTATTAAATTCTTATGAATTTAATAATTTATGCTTTAGTTTTAGAATTAAATAGTTTACTTTTCAAAACACTTTTTTATGAATAAACCGATTATTTCACATAATTCATCGAATATCTGTACTTCATTGAAGACATGGACCTTATAAAACTTTCTAAAATAGTGCGGATGAAGGTTGGTTGGTTAAATTTTATGAAGTGCATTATTAAATCTGCATATATACAAATAAGTATATGCATAAACAGTAGCATAAAACCACAAACTCTCATAAAATAAAGACATGCGCACTTAAAACTTGCTTTGTAAGAAGTACAAAGTCGGCCATGACCTGCATCAAATCGATCTGTGAGTGCAAGTTATGAGACAACCCTCGTTGATCTATAACATCAACCAGGTTACCAATTCATTTAAGCGATAGTTACATCAGAAAAATCATTCACCCCATCTGTTCAATTTTAAAATATTATGTCTCGATGGAAAGTTGTTTTACATTAGTTTTCAGAATCGAGCTTTATCTGAGAAGAGTTTTAGAAAATGTGTAAGTCGAAGAAAAATGCTTAAGTTTTTTAAAATAATTTCACATTTTTAACTCAACCTAAATGAATTCTAAAAATGTTTGATGAAATATTACCACTTTCTTACGCCCATTTTTTTAGAATAAAAAATTCTCTGATTTGTCGACAAATTTTGCGGGTGTTTGCATCTATTTTGAATGCTGAATTCACTTCTATTTTTGCATCGTCAATGAGCGCATTCTAAATTTAATATTCAAAAGTAAAAGTATATTTTATTCATTTTAAACCGTAGATTTAAATGTTTCCCAGAGCAGAAAAAATTGAAATTTACCATTTAATTTTAAAGTTGAATCCTTAAAAGGTTTAAGAATTCCAAAAACCGTTGCCCAACCTACTTAAACCATCGTTATTAAAATTGAGTTTTTACCGTGAAATATTCTTAAAAAACAACGGTATACTTTGTTTTCATAAATTTTCATTTTAGTTTGCTTTATAATGCTTTGGAAAATTTAAATTTATTGAGGCAAGAGAATTATTTTGTTTTATCAATGCACATATGCATGAGAGTACATAGTAAAAATACATAGTATACATTAATAATCATACTCTACTTTCATACCAACTTTCGACTTCTATTACTCAATGAAATTTTTCGTTTTATTAGATTTAAGATCTTCAGTGACATGTTTAGCAAACATGAATATTGATAAATATATAAATTATTTTGATTGTTAATAATGGTTCTCTTTTCAAAAAATCATTGAATGCCATAACTCGAAATAAATTGTGTAGAAATGTGTGCTTTTGTACAAATTTGTTTAAAGGTAGCTTTAGATTTTATTAAGGAAACACGCCCCTGTAATTTTATCTGTAAATAAAAAAAAACATGAAAATTGAATGTTAATTATTGAATTTTTATTTTTTGATGTAAAGTTATGATTTTATAAATCTTATCACATCAATATAAAGATGACTATAATGCATTTAATTATGTAAATTGGTCCGGGACTCATCTGAAATGAATTATGATTTCAAAGTATTATGCTGTAGAAGTCTGACCTCAATTTATGACCTATGTTGGTTAGTCGAGTTCTAAAAGTTTTGGTATATCTTCCTTACTTTTAAATGAAATAGATCTCGAAGAAGAGGCTAGAAAAATTTAATTCTGTCTAAAATATAGAGAAAAGCCAAAAACAGTTTTTTCAACGTTTATTTCTGTAAGTTTAGACCGATAGATTGAACAAATAATTTAAACAGAAGTGGAAACCACTTAGGTCATTTTAATAATTAAAAGTATGAGAGCCATTTTTTCTTATGTAAAAAATTTTTTAACATAATTTTACATCAAAAACAAAAAATGTTGAAATTAACATGTAATATTTATGTATTAAATTTATAGGTGAGAATGCAGATGTGTCCCTTTAACTTACTTAGATAATGTTTAAGACTTGATGTTAAAAATTGTTTGCAACGCAAATAAGATTAGTATCTACTCTGACTAATTTAAAATTTAACGTTCATGTAACATTAGAAAATAGTTCACGTGCGTTGAAATTGATCTTGAAACACTTTTCAACATTAATTTTTCATTTTTCCCAGCAGCAGTTATCTATTTCATTTGAAAATGACTAAAGGAAGCTTTAAACGTTTTGGACAATAAAAAAGTATGAGACATTTTTTGAGTGCATTTATAGTATTAATTGAGTTTCACTGCATCCGTGCTAAAAATATTCTGCAGCTCTGTATTACTGAAAGCGTGTAACTATAAACAAGAAAAAAGAAAGAAATCGTTTGAAGTATGTGTGTGAACGATACAAAATAATACGATCAATAACTCCCCTACTCCAATGAACTAAATTCTTATGACGCCAAGAGGCCAAATTGAGCTTTGTATTCACGGCCACAAATGCATATATTATTCATTGTAGTTGGTTTTTATATCACAAATTATGTAGCCAAAAATATGCATGTTGAGAAGTTAAATACGATGAGATAGAATTAAAAGCAATAAAAAATATTCCATCTATAAAAGTCGTATGGGTTAAAGGTGCCTGGTAAGCAGACAGGGTGAAAGATAGAGGAAATTGCATAGCGAGATAAACGAGAAGCGCTGCAAGCTTCGCTGGAGATTCGCTTGATCGCGAACACGGTGATGCGGCAAGCTCGCGAGTGCCAGGTGGGCAATCGACCTGACGCTCGGAATACCAGCAGCAGCAGCAGCAGCAGCGCAGCATCGACCAGGTCCGTGCCTGAGAGGGAGAGAGAGAGAGAGGAGCGCGAGGGAGAAAGAGTGAGACAGAGAAAAGGCCAAAGTCCACCTGGTCCCTCCTTTGCGTGCGCACCCTCTCGTGCCCCCCACCGGGCGATCCTCTGGGTCACGTGCGGCTGCGCCCTCGAGCCCCGTTAAGCGCGCGCACAGCCAGACAGTGGGAGAGCTGGCGGTCGACGTAAGGAGAGCTGCGCACCCTCGGGTGGGGAGGCTTCCTGGGGCAGTGGCGGGGAGGATCGCGAGGGCAGACGCTCCAAAGCCATCCCGAAGGTGAGACACGCACGTCCAGCTCAAGCGAGACGCACCGCTCAACGAGAGCTTTTTGGTCTGTGTAAGTACTCGATCATTAATTTATTATTATACATTTATCATTCCTCGACACCTTCTTCGTCTTACGCGTCGAATAATCCGGCTGAATTGTGACGGATTCGTGGAAAAATTATTTCTGCAGCTTGCAAGCTCCCCAAATCGTGAGGGACCAGCGAGATTTTAACGCTTGGCGTGGCTCCACCGTTACTCAAATAGACTTCAACAGCTATATAGCAAAGTTAACGATGAGCTCGATCGATCCCTCGATTTGCGATTGCATTTTTTCCGTTACGACTGCTATTTTGTCCTCAATTTTCGGCTCTTGACAAACTTTTATTGATTCTCCATAAAATACCTGAACGTTATTATTTTAAAGATAATTTACTCATACATTTTGTTTGTTATCAAGCTGAGAATAATTTAAAAATCTTTACATCTTTTCACGTTAAATTGAACAGTTTATAAAAAATCATCACCAGTCATGTATTTCAACAATCAATTATTCTTTCTCGTACAAATTACTTTCAAATAATGTTTGAAAGTATACCTATGTTAATCGATGTCATTGATACACATATCCCTGATTTTAGAAATCTGTATCACCCCCTCGGTAATTTGAGCCCCGTTGCTCTCTAACCATTCAATTTGTGATGCTCTTAACGAAAAAAATGAAAGCGTTGAATATCGTTTGTTGTAATTCGAGTAACTATCATACAAGCATCATGTGTTACTTACTAGTTTTCCTTTGCTTCTATTGGTTTACTTATAAAAAGTTTTCAGTGATAATTGCTTTACTGACTGTATATTCTGTACTGAAGAAATGGATCTCTTAAAATATCGCAATTGTATTACTTTTCTAAAGAAAATATCACTTATACTGACCCAAAGAAGCCAACCAAAATCAATAGATATAACTCGATACATCGAAAGGAAAGATGATTTTTTTCATAAATATTTGACACTTTTTCTGAAAATTTGTAAAACTTTTTGAATAGTTATTATTAAAATCAAGAGGAACAAGAGTGCACTGCTTATCTATAAATTGTTAATGAAGGCCAAATATAGAAGGCCTTTGACTTCGTGGCGACTTTGTGCCAATTTCATTTGAACAATCAATATTAAGCATATAGAAATCTCAGCTATAACGTGATACTTTCACGGTGTTTATTTTCACGCCCTACCACAGGCATTTCTAGCACTTACTTGAATACGTATTTCAGTGGTTAAATATAAAACAATCTGTATTGATTCATCGGAAAAATTTTAATGGCATAATATATCACGTTTAGAGCGACGAAAAAAACGTTTTTACGTGTCAATACCAGTGAATTATTGATATTCCGAATGTTCCAATGTTTATAATTGATTCATTATGAAAAAATGTGTGTAAAATTGATTACAGGCTCGGTAGAGGACACGGCGTAAAAGGTGGAGGGCTCCGGCACAAGTGGTACAACGGAGTCGATTAACGATTCTAAGGAGGATCCGCAGGCAGCGGACGTAGCTGCTAAACTGAGTGGTATCCTAGCTGGACTTCCGACCTTTGCCGGTCCCCAACGTCTCGCCACTTCCCTCAGACAGAAGTTTGCCGATAACTCGGGTAAGGCTGGCTTTCTTACATTTAGCGTTAAATAAAATTAGGCTCAGTGTTCTTTTCTTGCACAAGTATACATCGAGCAATCGCGCCAAGCCCCCCCAGTATTTTAGCCTTGATTTATAATCACAAACCCACTATAATCAGAAGGTGTCTTTTAATAATGATGATTGCTTATTTAATTTTCTTTCACTCGTGTGACGATATATGTTATTTGGTTTTTGGGATAAAAAAGGTACCGAGTAATAGAGTATAAGATCGATTTTAGATAGTAGATGCAAAGATAAATGTGAGATTTTTATTCAGCGAAGAGCACATTTACTTTAGAAAATTGATTAATTGTTAGTTTTAAATAAAAGTCATCATGAACTTTTGCTCTGACTTTAAATTGGACAGGAATCATACTGACGTAATCGGTTCGAAAATTCAGCTGCGCTATTCAGGCCGGGCCGGGCTTGGGCTCTTAGATAAAAAAAAAAAATTACAATAACATTGCTCAATATTAATTGATTTAAAATTGTCCTGATGAGGTTCAGGTGTAATATTAATGTGAGCGCTCTGTTGTAGGTTACCCCTGGCTCGGCCTGATGCGCGTCGTCTTACTAGCTGTTGTAACTTGTCATCAATCCGATTGTTATCAAACAACAACAACAATCAATACAACAGCGACTTCATCATTATTGTTGTCATCGTTATCATCACCATCACTATTATCGCCATCTCCATCGTCATCAACAGCAACAACATCAACGACAACAGCAAATACAGCTACAGGAACATCAAAACTTTTCCAGCCATCGACAGCGGCTGCATCAGCGTAATGAGCGTTCACCGGAGATAAATATAAACTTCTAAACTTTGAAGTAGCTATTGCCACTTGAAAGTCGAAAATTTTCGATCATTACAAATAAACAGTCGAAGGTTCAATTTTTACAAGGAAGTGCATTCGAAAGATATTGCAGAAAAGAAAAAGGAGACAAATTTTTGTAACTTTGGTACCATATTGAGAGATGCTGGTAAACGCAACAGCTTGAAGTAGCAAAGAAATAAAAGTACAAGAGAAAAAGTCAAGATTATATAGAAAAAGGTTAAAAAGTTAAGCAATCATGGCTGCCATTGGTTCGATAAAAGTGCCCGTGCTGAATCTGGAGTTGCGCGAAGTAAAGGACATAGTATGGGAGAAGACCCAAGAGCCACAGGCGCAGCGAAAGCTCATTTTGGTCATCGTGTGCATCGCTCTGCTGCTGGACAATATGCTCTACATGGTGATCGTGCCGATCATCCCGGACTACCTGCAGTACATAGGGACGTTCTCGGACGACCCTCCGCCAGTGGGCACAAACGGCACGACCGTTCCCCACCACCATCACGGACAGGACTCGGCGACGGGGATCCTGTTCGCCTCGAAGGCCATCGTCCAGCTGATGATCAATCCGTTCTCCGGGGCCCTGATCGATCGGATCGGCTACGACATTCCCATGATGATCGGGCTCTGCATAATGTTCCTCTCGACGGCTGTGTTCGCCTGCGGCCGCAGCTACGGGGTGCTGTTCTTCGCCAGGAGCCTGCAGGGGGTGGGGTCGGCGTTCGCCGACACTTCGGGACTGGCCATGATCGCCGACCGCTTCACCGAGGAGAACGAGCGCTCCAAGGCCCTCGGCATTGCCCTGGCCTTCATCAGCTTCGGCTGCCTCGTGGCTCCGCCCTTCGGCGGAGCTCTCTACCAGTTCGCTGGCAAAGAGGTGCCTTTCCTCATCCTGGCCTTCGTGAGTTTGGCCGACGGCTTCATGCTGCTGCTCGTCATGAAGCCCTTCAAGGAGCAGCTCAAGGAGAGCCGCCAAGAAACTGGACCAACGATTCCAATATGGCGCCTCTTTATCGATCCGTACATCGCCGTGTGCGCAGGTGCGCTCATGATGTCCAACGTGGCGCTGGCTTTTCTCGAGCCCACCATATCGCTCTGGATGGAGGACCACATAACCCACGACAACTGGAAAATGGGCATGATCTGGCTTCCCGCTTTTTTCCCCCACGTCTTCGGAGTGGCCATCACGGTGAAAATGGCTAAGCAGTACCCGCAGCACCAGTGGCTCATGGCAGCGGGTGGTTTGGCGCTCGAAGGTCTCTGCTGCTTCATCATTCCCTTCTCGACCTCTTACAAATTCCTCATGATTCCGATCTGCGGCATTTGCTTCGGCATCGCCCTCATCGACACGGCCTTGCTTCCAACGCTCGGCTACCTCGTCGACGTGCGCTACGTTTCGGTTTACGGCAGCATCTACGCGATCGCCGACATCAGTTACAGTTTGGCTTACGCCATTGGACCCATCATAGCCGGAGGAGTCGTGGAAGCCATCGGCTTCACTGCCCTCAACGTATTCATAGCCATAAGTAATCTCGCCTACGCTCCGGTTCTCATGTACTTGCGCAACATCTACGACTTCAAACCCTTCCAAGACGAAGCGAACATCCTCATGCAGGATCCACCCAACAAGGAGTATCAAACCTACGTGCTGCAAGAGCAGAGGCCGACAACCGGAGACGTTGGCAATCATCTCACTTCGCAGGCAAGGATAGAGACCAACGTCGACCAAAATATCGAACCCAACTATCAGAACTACGGCGACCAAAGCTACCAGTATCAAGGTCAAAATCAGCCGAATCAGGCTCAGAACTACAATACGCAATATCAGCAAGACGCTACTAGCTATAATCAGAGCCAGCAAGATGCTTCGTACTCGCGATCGTCTTATCAACCGCAGCAGTCCATCTCCAGCGCCGGTCATCCAAATCCATTCAGAAATCAAGCTAACGAGCAGCAGACGAGTGAAACCGTCAATCCTTTCCGTACAGGGATGTACTAATTTTTAAGCTCGCCTTAAAGCGACTTGCGCATTCGAAACGACAAATAATCAGTAATGTTATAACGTAGTCGGTGTGATCGTGCTCGATAATTCAAGATTCATATTTTCGTGGCAGGCTTCCAGTGATGAAAATTTTATCAACACAGTAGTTATCTTCGAATCTTCGAGTGCGGAGTATCGGTGCGAGAAAATACTAGTCATTTAAAAAAATCGTTTGGACTGAGCTCAGGAGTCAGAAAATTATAGAATATTATCGTTGCTACTGTCAAGAAAATCGTTACAGTTTTGTTAATCTATGAAAGGCAATTTCCTAAAAATTTATTGCCAAGTGAAATTCTACACTTTTATTACTCAGTATACCGAAAATATTTGATAAGTTATTCAAAGTATATTTGAAGAACTCTAAAAAAATAGTTATGCCATTTGTGTCGAATATTGAAAGTGTGTGCGTACAAGAGTGTGGGTGAGTGTGTGAATGATGTAAGAGGTAAAATATATCGATTATCGGAAAATAAAAGATGAAAAGTGTGTCATGTGCTAAAATGTGCTTGAAATAATATAAAACTACATTCAATGAAGGATTTCTTTTACTTCTTTTATGGCGTAAGTATTAACAGTGTGAACTTGAGTTAAAATTCAATTTTACATTTTTTCTATTTGATTGCAATCGGTGAAATTTATTTATTCCAAATTAAAGCTCACACCATAAAACGGGTTCAAGAGTCACTTTTATACATGCTTTTGAAAACAGTTACTTGGCACATAAAAATATACAAAATAATTACCATTAATGAGTAAACTGAATACTACTAAAATACCGCTATTATAAGACTTGCACTCTAGATTATAAATGTAATGTATGTATTGTTTACTAAGTGTTTCTTCTCGATCATGAAACATTGGTAAAAAATGTATATAAAATTTTTTATTTAAATATATTTACAATTTAGTTCGACATTCTTGCTGAACCAAGATAACATATCAAGGAACGCGATTTATCGTGATTTCCAAACGTAGTATAAGGATAAATTAACTTAAGTGAGTATCATAAGTAAATATAAGTCATTTCGTCTAGAACAATAAGTCGGATAACATCGAGTTGGTGTTTAGTTTCATTTTGTGGTACTAAGTCAATTCATTAGTAATCATTTAGTAATGTAAATTCCAATTGTTTTTGTTGAATAACACCGTTATTACTATTTAGAATTTATTAAAACAAGTGTTAAACATAAAATTTGAATATTCTACTTCAAACTTTAAAATGTTAGAGACAAATATAGAAGTTGAATAATTTCAATGCAGTCGCTTGATTGCGATAAAAAAAAGTTTTACAGTATACACTGAATAATAAGTTGTTACTCTAGAATAAATCAGTCTATGCTTACTGCTCATATGCATGCAGTCGTGCTCATAATTAACAACATGTCTATATTAATGCTACTACATAAACCAACAAGAAATCGAAGATTTATTTTTATGAAATTTTCAAATTTTTATTTAGTCTTGAAAAATTTTCGAGGCGCGGAGATCAAAAAATAAATATTTTACACACGAAATAAATATTTTACATAATGAAGTGCTCTGTTTAACGCGCAGAACTAGGAACTAGGAGCTGGTCTCTCGTGATTTTTAAATAATTATTTTCTTTAATTCTTCCACGATGGAAGGTCTTCATAAAGCTTAGAGCTTTAATTATATGTTGGAGCATATAATTTTTTATTGGAAATGTTATATTTACTATTGGAAAATGCTCAACACAATACATATGCAATATACACACAAGAACAAAATACGCATTGATATATGCTACTGTATGTGTAGCGTTGAGAGCTTGCTAATAATCATGAACGAACATTGTATGTACAAACTATTACATTAAAAAAAACACAAAGAAATCATTCAAAGCTGCTATTTAACTTCCGATTTATTGTACATATAAAAACGATAAAATTCAAAATTAGGAATATGAATTATGTTTTTAAAATCGTTAGATACTTAAATGATGGGATATAAAAATTATATTATTCGATAAATTGACCATTTAAGTCCTTTTTTCAATGACTATTAATAACCGTTTGGTTCTAATATATATAAGATACAAAAAAATTAATACCGCTCCTATGGCATATTTTTTTATTTCTGAACACCAAACACACTTACGTGTAAATGAATTTGTACGGATATAAGTTCTGCCTTAACCTTATCAAATGTTCGTTGCGATTTCTTCTATTAACACCTTACCTCTGAAAAATAAAAAAATTGTAAAAAAATCCTGAAATAAAATTCACGTACATTTATAAATTTAAGTTTTGAATATTTAATATCTATAAATATAGATAAAGTTTTTTTAATTTTTAAAAATTAGATATTGATTTCAAAAGAAAAGAAGACATTTTAGTTAATTTTGTAAATAGCTGCTATATTAATGTATATATTTAAATATGTGCTGTAAGGCTGTATACAAGTAGTTTCCATTTTATTTTCTTCAATTTTCTTGTAAATAAACTTGAAAATTTGTTCGATGTTATAAAAAACCGAACACATAATATACTTGCTAAATGTATGCTATAACTAAATTGTCAACAAAGTTGAAAACACCCACTTATCACCTAAATTGTACATTATTATTATATTGAAATGTTAAAGTGTATGTCGTTAATAATTGATATCTTAACACATACTCATTATGTTGGGTCTCCATCTAGAAATTTATATGCTTAAAATGCATACGTGTTTATTTAATATTTTATTTATTTTGAAAACCGAATTAAAATAATTTGTATATTAATATGCTTGTGGAGATCATTGATTTTCTAAATTAACCTTTCAGTTTCATCTAAATTGATATTAAAATTCTGCAAAATATTCGTTTCGTGCATTCAAAATATAGATTATCGATACATTATTACTGTCATGTATTCAATGTTATAACTATGAATATCATTCTCATTAGAGCAATCTTTCGTTCAAAAAGAGGCTCGAATTAGAAATAGTCTTATAGTTAGTGAACATGCTATTTATTCAAAAAATAAATAATGTATATAAAAATGAAATAGGCCATTCATGTTTAATTTTCAAAAATGTAACTTTATGTTGTGTAACTTGTTTACTGTCTATTTAAAGAGATTTTTTTTACTTCAACAATCGACAACAATTTTTATTTAAAATCGTTAATATAATGAGTTAAAACATAAAAAATATTTTTTAGTAATATTTTCATGAGCTATTATATGATTCAAATTTAAAAATTATATACAGTTAAAAGTTGTTTTCAAGCATAATGTGATTCTTTTTTATTTCGTAGTAACACCACTGTATTCATTTATTCAAAAATATTAAATGTCAATTTATAAAAACGTTTACTACGAATATTATTTTATTCTATCAAAGAAGTTAAGAAACCATATATAAAATTGTAACAATATGAATAGTTATCACACGAGTGGCGTCGTTCCAGAAAAACAGCTCTTAACTTAATATATCTGCAATTGATTACAACATTTTACAAATAATGGTTTACGTAAATGTGGATTTAGCATGTAAACTTTGATTGATTGATAATAGTAAACAATGTAAAACGATTAAACTGGAGTAACAATAGCTATAAGAAATTCCACGTATTGTCGTCTGGAATTCATTATATGCGAGTTGTATAAAAATAAGAATGGTTATAATTTATTATGCATTTGACCACGTGTGTGTGATCCTGTAAAATTGTTGAAGTAATTATTAAATACGTCATTGTTACCGAACTATATTGATTTCTACTTTCTTACGAGACCTTTTTAAACCTAATAAATAAAATTTATTTTTTATTTTTAAAATAATTATTACAATATATTGTTATCATTATTGTTATTATTATTATTATTATTATTATTATTATTATTATTATTATTATTATTATTATTATTATTATTAAGACACGTTCTCAGGATTCGCATTTTCAATGAAGATTTTGTCAAAGGAAAAGCGAAGTTCTTTTTCTTTCTATCTTCTTTATAAGTTGCACAAGCTTATCAATTATTTTCTGAAGAAACTTGAAAAAAAATTCCAAAATTTAAAAAACATCATTATTCTCCACTAACTAGAAATTATAACTAATTTCATTTTATTATAAGAATTTATACGGAAATTTTTAACTTTATATACATAAGTGTACTTTATATGACGAACGTAAGTATATATAATATATTATAAAAGGATCAGGGAGCTTAATTTGTTCGTTATTTTTTAAAAAGTTGTTCAATTTGGAACAACAAAAATGGATAAAGAGACACAAATAGAAATCCAAGTGTATAGAAATAACTATAAGCAAGAGGAAAAGTGTTTAATTTAGTAAGGTAAATATTGTGGCGTGTACGATGAATAGTGTTACAGACTTAGTATGGTATACACTATACACCTATGTGTACGTATCCGCATGCGTATGTCATGCTTTAGATTCTTCGATTCCCCTTCGGTAGTTTGATTCGTTCCCCCTTGAAACAACCATCCCTCGCCACCCTGTAATATAAATATTATTACACTTTGATAGGGTAGGGTTGACACTTGTCAAAGAAAGTAAAGATGCGTGAGGATATGTTAGAGAACCATTTTGATAAATTTTTAGGTTTATACAAGATGCTGGAAATATAAATTGATCCTATGAAAATAGCCTGTCTTTATTGGCCATTTAGTATTTTTTGGCAATAATGCTTAGCCAGAAAAAACAGCTTTCACTTTTTTACATTGAAATTCATTCACCATGCCAGTTGAATTACTTACCTACAATGCATGTGTTCCCGTAGATCGTATCTTTTTTATAATTTTATGCAGGTAGGTAATTGCAAGCCATTACTTAACAGACGAAAAGTTTTTTCGTGTTTTCAACCTATTCTTGTATACTTTTACCGAGTAATACTTAATTTTTTTTTAACTCATCCACAGAATTTTTAATCTTAAAATTAATTCATTTTCATATTGTCTAAAGATAGTTAAGTTTAGTTCCATAGTAAAGCTCCGAAAATTCTAGTTAACTTTCAACTCAATTATCGGACGTGAAAAAAGGGTATCGTAAAAAAGTATCGCAAACCTTATACCGCGTAAAAAGTGTATTAGATGAAGTAAAATTCCTTTCGTTGGTGCTTACCAATGAAGCACAAATTATCGGGTTTTAGAATCGCAAAGCATTGTAACTAAACTTGTGCTGGAATACACGTGTCCAACAAGGGGATGACTCATCAACAGCCACGTGAAGATAATAACAAGCCAAGTGCTTCTCTAAATAGCACCTGCTCTTTTATAAATGACCATTTTATTATATCGAAATACCCCGTTGGGCCACAAATCTTTTGTCATGCATTAGAACCCAAATTGCAACTCGATGAACTCAACAGCAAAAATCGGAACTTTTCAAAGACAAACAGCATAAGTTTTTCATCCGTAATAGCTTTGATTTTTTGAAAATTTTGAATAGTCCGTGGAACTAGAACTATTGTTTCTAAAAATTATCTCCTTAATAAATAGACGTAATATAATTGTTCTTAAGAACGTTATAAAAATGTTACCTATGAACAACTGATATATATAATTTAGACGTTTTCAAATTGACGTAATGAAAAAACTACAAAGGCATAAAGTAAAAAAAGTTTCATAAAAATAAATGCAAAGCTTGTTTTTTGTTCCAGAGGGATGGCGAGATTCCGTTGTGGGGACTTCGCGCCGACTGCTTTCCAGCATCAGCAGTCTATCCAAGGACACCTCTTGTCCTTCTGCTACGGTAAATATATTATTCCATAAATATACTTGAAAGTATATAATTTGTAAAACAGTAAATTTGAGATCAATCTACTTTATGAATAATAGTTATTTACGATATAAGTGCCGTAAGTGGCAGGTCCGAGCACAGGGAGAGATCAATCACAAGTTTTCTCCCCGATAGGAGTATTGAACACTTTTTGAAGTAGCATAAAAATTCTAACTTATTCCAGAACTACCTGGACCGATGAGTGCCAGTAAAAACCATTTTTTTATTCAAATATAGTAAATAGCTGCGTCGTATAGTTAGAATTTTCGGGAAATATAAACTTCGTTGCAAATAAATTTTGTTAAATAGGCAGTGGTCGGGCCTTTTTTGTATACAACACGTTCTAAGTGCTCAGTCAAACTTGGTAAAATTGAAACTCTTTAAAAAAGTGAAAAAATGATTATACGAAAACGTATTACTTTAAATTGATACTGAAAAAATAAAAATTCTCACGGCAATGTATTAATATCGTGCTTATAATTCATTTTCATGCATGTCGCGTTGTTTATAGCAAGTGACGATGAATCATTTATATAATTTATTATCCAATCACACATAACAAACAATTTCAACTAATAGCTTCTCAAACAGAGGACTGAATCTCGCTTAGAAAACTCCGAGTCACATACGTGCTGCTGATTTTATAGTGGAACATTCTATCTATACGATGAGATAACGTTGAACTTTCACTTTAGACATCATGGTTTTCGAAAGTAAAACTTCTATTCATGGTCTTTCATTATAATGAATACACATATTCAAAGTAGTTTTTTTAATTTATTTGAGAAATTTTGGCATCGATTAAAGAGATGCCAACAATCTATTTTTTTTTTAAATGCATATTCGGTATTTCATTCGAATTATCTTTTACCTAAGTTTTGTTTTAAATTATTAAACAATCATTAATTATTTAAATGTTAAGTATTCCCCCACAAATGAATTTATGCTGCCAATGTTTTTCAATTCTATTCGACTTATATTTTTATAAATAGACGTAGCTAATAAAATGTGCCTCAAGTTCATCTATATACAATGAACTTAAAGTGGAAGTAATTGAATATTCCTACTATCGCTAAATTTTTAGAATCACAAAATGTGGGCCACACAAATCAAAAGTTAATCTTTTTAGATCAATAACAAGAACTGCAAGTTTTTCCGGCTAAAAACAGACGATCATAATGAGAATAAATTAAAATTAAAATCGATACTTTTGTGTTAAATGTTGGTTGAAGAAATGAATAAAAAATAAAGTGAAAAAATATAACTCGCTGGGTACAAAGGGGAACAAGTCTGGCTTGTGAAAAGATTGCGCGAATAACAGTGCTCGTGTCTTGGGGTGTCACTAATTGGAAGGGAGTCCACGCGTAGCGAGGGACGGCAAACTTGTTATCTTTTAATTGCTGTGGAGGCTATACGCGCGCTTGTTTTGCATTGACAAGCCAGCAAAGAAACGCGCCCGCCGTAACTCGTTGAACAAAAAGAGAGAACAAACGCTTCTGAATATGTTCTATGCTGTTCTGAAATAAGCTC